ATAGCCTTATCTTTTTAACTTGAGGCTTCTACCCCCACCCAAGTCCTGCTTTGGCTAGCATTCCCCTTTGCCGGTGTTTGGCTGAAAAGTGTCCAGCATAAGAGGCAGAATGGATACTTTGACATTCAACAACACGGTAAGCTTCTAAAGCTTTCTCCCTGTGGCAGGTTTAACTCCTTTTCACTCGTGTCTCCTGTCATGAATCCTGTCTCCCTTCTGGTCTCACTGATTACTTTCATTCTCAGCCTCACTTTCACGCTGAAATCTCTCAGCTACTGTGTACTTTTAGAAGGATAAAAATGACCACCACTTGCTGGAAATGCATTACTACACACAAGGGACCATGCTGGTAGCTCTATGTTCCACAAGGAAACAGATTACATGGCCAACAAGTGGAAGACTGCAGGCTTAAAACCAGATCTGCCTAATTTAAGCGGTTTTATTCCTTTCACTGCCTTTTGAGCTTGGGATTCTGGGTTACTTAAGAGCTTTCAAAATTAGAATTCCCCCTAAGTACTTTCCCTGTCCTTCTACTCAATAGGAAAAACATTAGTTGGGCAGGAGAACTCCTAACTAGTTTGTTGTTCCTTTCTTATTCTTCTACAGTCCACTTTGTGGAGGGTCAAACCAGCAGAAAGGGGGATAATGTGAAGGATAAGCAAAGGGGGTTTCTTTTCTCTCTCCGAAGCCCCTTGATCAAGCCCCTGGGATATTTAAGAGTTAGGTTGTCAGGACAGAGAGGACCTCACATCTTGGCTTTGATATATCTCAAGTAAATTGTACATAGCAGCTTGAAATCAGTAGAGTGGACAGTGCTTCTTCATAGGTCTTGGGAAAGTTATATGGGTATATACTCTTGATTGAAGAACTGGAGCCAGAACTGGAGCCCCCAGTTTATTTAAGATGGTTCGTTCACAGCGTATTTTGGTCTCTTAGAAGTGATAGTTGTAGCACATCCTGCATGTCTACCACACACAAACCATCAGATACCAGCTAAAGGACAAGGGTCGGTCTCTTGCCAGCTGACTGGAAATGTATTGACAAGCAGTGACCAAGAGCAACAGTCCTTGCTCTGCCATGCCATTGCCTGAATTTGGGTAAGTTTTCATTCATTCCTGCTTTCACTCAATCAGCTGTTTTGGGGTACCAGGGGAGTTAAAATCCAAACCTTGACACATTCTAGCTGTGAGATCTTGGTTAAGCCAATCTAAACCACAGAACCCACTGGTGAAAGCTGGAGATAATAATGATACCTTCTTCACTCAGTACTTGCAAGCATGTTCATGCACACGTCAGCTGTTCATTCAGTAATCAGCTGTTGAGCAATTACTATGTTCCAAACACGGTGCTATGCTCTGGAACTATCCACCAAAATGAAAACTGGCATTTAGTGACTGCCTCATTTGGCCCAGATATGCGACTTTTATTCTCCCATATAATCCTCATAACACTGCAAGGCATGCAATATTTTCACTATCTTATAAATGACAAAGCAGTTCAGCAGTGTAAGAGCAGCGTGCACCAGGTACCCTGAGGAGTGACACTTAACTATGCTCTTGAGAATCAGAGGAGTTCCTAAATGACATGATGACTGAGGCTGGAACTTGTCAGAAAGAATGCACTGGGGTGAGAAGAGCTAGAGAGGGAAAGCACAACTCAGGAAGAGAAAACAGCAAAGGCAAAGGCACATTCTCTTCATTCTCTAACCTATTCTGTTTTGGACAAGGAAGGTCCTGAGTGGTTCTGGTACAGAAAAGTCTCCTTTTCCCTCCATTTTCCAAGTCATTTCTTCATGTCTTTCTGTCTGTACTGACACTGCAATCCTCATTTGCCTTTCCTTTGTACCTCTCCATTTCCACTCATTTACTCTGACCTTGCAATAGCTTCCCCTCTCCTCCCTCTAAACACAGTTGCAGACTGAGTTTTCTTAAGTACATCTTTGATCACGAACTCTAAAATCTTCAATTCTCTTTCCCTAGAGGAGTTTGGACTACAGAGCCAACCAGTTAGTATGATTAGCAAAGTCCTGACCTGTCTTTGCAGTCTTTCACTCCTTTCCTTCAACCCTGATATCAATCCTCAAATTAAAAGAAAAATTTCCGGTACTGGGGATTGAACCCAGGGCATTTGAATTAACACTCCACCCCCTACCCCCGGGGTGCACACCTTTTTGAAGATGAGACTCTCGCTAAATTGCCCAGGTTGGGCTCAAATTTGTGATCCTCCTGCCTCTGCCTCCCAGAGCGCTGGAATTACAGCCTGCACAGCCATGCCCAGCTAGTCCTTAAATTTTGGTATGAATCAGAATCACTCCTGGGAAATGTACCAAACATGGCCTCAATCCCCAAATATCTGATGGGACGGATCTGGGTTGGTTCCCAAACATTGAGGGGCAGGAGGGTGCGGTTTGCTTTTATGAGGACGGACATCCATATTGCTAAACAGGTTTCTCTTGGTAATCCTAACCTCACCAACTGCACAAACTTTACCTACATTTAGTAAACTCACTTTCTCGGCTAATTTGTGAGCTTAAAGTTTTCCTTCTTCCAGGACCTCCTAATTCTCAAATTCTGCAACGGTGCAGGTGGAATGCTAGGAAGTCTTTCTTGCTCCCCTCCACTCTTTCATATTTAGTTGCACCTTCTTGTAGCACTGTGTGTGTGTGTGTGTGTGTGTGTGTGTAGCACATTACACTACTGAAAATTGAGCCCAGGGCCTTCATATTGAGCTACATCCCTAACACTTTTTGTTTAAATATTTTTTTTTTCGCTAAATCACCCAGGCTGGGCTCCAGTTTGCAATCCTACTGCCTCAGCCCCCAAGGTTTACAGACATGTGTCACTAAGCCTGGATGTGCTTGTAATCCCAACATTTGGGCTTCACTCCCGCCTTTAGATGTTTCCTAAATAAGAAAAAAGATGCCAGAAGCGTCCAAAAACCCGGCCAACCGAGTTACCCCTGGATTTGGAGGGCCATTTTCATTTGTGAGTCCATCCCAACTCCTAGCTCTCTGAGGCAATCTGGGACCAGCTAATCCACTGGGGTCACAATCTGATCAACAGGGCACACACACATTTCGACCCCGCCGCCGAGACTCTTCCCTAGCTATGAATTTAGGCAAGGGTAAACTAAATCGGTCTAAAAGTCACTCCGAGGGCTGAGGGTAGAGAACCGTACGGGTAGAGAACCGTACGGGCAGAGGAGGGAAAAACAGACTACTCGGAACACAAACGACTGGACGCTCAGAATAAACGAAACGACGCAATGAAGCGACGCAGAAGTGGGTCGCCTGGGCTGCCAGTTCCACCAATGACGTTCGCGTCGGCCTCCGATTGGCTGTCCTTTATACTAGTCCCACCGCCCCCGGTATTTCCCACGTGATCCTCTGGCGACCTCAGGATTGGTTGTCTGGCTGGGGCCGCGCTGAGCTTTGGGATGTGGGCCTGCTATTAGATAAGGAAGAGAGCACACAGAAAGTGAATCTGTACCTGGCCAAGAATCTGGGAGTCTGGGTGCCATCTTTTTCAGGATGCTACTTGTTTCTTGTTTCGCCCAGGCGCAGGAGATTTAGGAGGTCGGAAAGCCGGTTGCTGCTTCCGGCTTGGGGGGTTTTTGCCTTGGCTCCGGCCTTATTTCTGTTTTCCCACAAGGATGGCTTTGGTCTTTCATGAAATGGTCGGGGTTTGGACTTTATTCAGAGAATCAGTTGTGTAAGGCATTGACTCTCCCGCGCAGTAATCTGTGCAAAGCGCCTTGAGGTAGAGATGGGTCATGAGGGCTTGGAGATGCTTGAAGTATGGTCCTTACCCACGTAACATACTGGAGGTAAGTTGGCTTTATAAATTGTAGTAATATTTAGGGTTTAGTAGGGAGTGCCGCTCACTGACTGAATTAAACGCTTTTTTTTTTAATTGAACTCCTATGTACCAGGCACGTAAGACACAGTGCTGGTGGTTAGAGAAGTCCTTTTGATTGGACTGCTAGAAGAAAGGAAAACGTGAACTGGTCAGTAGTTGATATGTAGTGGGAAAAAAAAGAGCAGTGGGAGTCAAAGGAAAGGATAACACGTGTTAGAAACACTTAAGAAAAGGGAACATTTAAGTATGAAGTGTTATTAAAAAATACAGCGAATGCTTACAGTCCCCTAGTCCCCTCCCCATTTTATTACGGTAAAAGACACATTGCCATTAGTCCCCCTGGCTTCAAACACTTAACCCATCCTTCTTGCCACTTTCTGAAGCAGTTCTGGAAGTCCTCTTTCATGAATGTCCTTAGTCGCGCTGTCATGGCTGCTTCCCTGTTCTGAAACATTCAAAACGCTTATGTTTTACGTTCTTTTTGACTGACACACTTTTTTTTGGACAGAAATTGCTGTAACGTGCGATCAGTGAGGGGTGATCACAATTTGCTGTCTGCCATTAATCCTCTTCAAGATAGTCCTTCTAACATACCCCGGCATTCTTGTCTGTGTGTCGACTGTAATTTTTTTTTTAATTTAAAAATTCACCGTAGTTTTATGATCATCCCTTGTACTACCCGGGCATTTGTCTGTGTTTCGACTGTAATTTTTTTTTTAATTTAAAAATTCACCGTAGTTTTATGATCATCCCTTGTACTTCTAGAAGTATAATTAAGCGTTCTCCCCATGAAAGGAGTCCCCCAGCTGGAGCCAGGTGTACAGTGGCAGAGAATTAGGCAAGTATACTTGGCTATGTTTGGCAAGAGCAAAGATCTTGAACTCCATGTTTGGATGTCTATTTGTATCTTAAAACGAAGTGAAACAGTCTTCTACAAAAGTGGTACTCATGGGGTTCCATACTTCAGAGGACAAATTTTCTATTAAATGGATGCAGCAAGGCTTCATACGAAATGTGGCATTTGTGGGGCGGGGGGAAAGGGGACTCCGTAAACTGGAGAGGTAGAATTGCAGTTCGGGAAGGGTTTCAACTAAGGGGAAGAAAGACTTTCTAAATGGAAGGCACAAGGTCAAATTGAATAGGTTTGAGGACTTTGGAATAGCTTGGGTTGGATATAGCGGTAAAGCACACGTAGTTAGGGTTATGGTATTAGTTAAGGATAAGTTTGGGTCAAGATTTTTTATTTTGATGCTGCGGATTGAGCCCAGGGCTTCTTGTATGGGTCAGCTTGAAACATCTCGAATGCTAAGCAAAGTAATTCAGACTTTATTTCCTGGACCATGGGTAGCAATTGAATGCTTGTAATGATAATTACATCTCCATATTTTGAGGTTAGTGGATGGGATGGAAAGTGGAGGCAGGACATCCATTGAGACAGCAGTATGATCTGATAGAATATGAGCTCTAAAGTGAGGTGTACACTGGTGCAATTTAGTACTCCTCACAAGTTTCATGATTCTAGGTAGTTATTTAATCTCTGCCAGCCTTTGCTCATTTCTAATGTGGGTCTGTTTCATCTGAAGAGGATGATGTGGGTCAAGCATAGCCACTTATAACAGGCACCCGGTTGTTTCACCTCTATGGAGCTTGTTTGTTGAATGGTGAACACAAACAGCTGTCAGTTTTTAAATGTGGAGTATCAGTCTGTTGATATTTATAGATGATGAAGGAAGAATATGATGCCTCCTCCAGAATTACTTAAATATCGAGTTGAATGTTGGAGAGGATGCCTTTGTGATGTGTTACTCTTCCATGTCAGCAATAGCATACCACCAGAAAGTATAAAAAAACATTTTTTTTTCTTGTACTGGGGATTTAACTCAGGACCTTGCACTTGCCAGGCAGGCACAGTGCCAGTGAGCTAAATCCCCAGCAGGTATCATTTTAAATAACTGAAACGCATTCAGCTTTCTCATTTGGAAATTTTGACTCTGAGGTTGCAAAACATCCAGACCCTGCTTATGGCCTTTCTCATTAATAAAGGGCAGGAACCTGGGCACTAGTAGTGGAAAAATACGTATACAGGTAAATGGCAATCAGACCTCAGTTCTCTTTCTGGTTCTGCTGTTAATTTGCTATAGTCCTTTGCCAAATCATAGCCTCTCTGAGTCTTGGGTTCTTATGTTAGAAGACTCATATAAAAATTTGTGACGATTTTGTTTTAGATAGAGACAGGGTTTTGTCGTGTTGCTGAGGCTGGCCTCTAACTTCTGGGTTTAAGTGAACCTTCAGCCTCAGCCTCAGAGGTAGCTGGGACCACAAATACATTTTGCTAGGCATTTGACTATTTTTATCTTTTTTTTTTTTTTTTTTTTTTTTTAACAGGGTCTCACTATGTAGTTGAGACTGACCTGGAACTCACTATGTAGCCCAGGCTGGTCTTGAACTCAGCGATCCTCCTGCTTCAGCCTCCCGAGTGCTGGGATTACAGGCATGCGCCACCATGCCCAGTGACTCTTTTTATCTTTGCTGGCAACAGGACTATAAATTGAATTTTATGTTCAATAAACTGTACTAATTTAGTAGGAAATCTTTTCTAAAAATTTCTGCTTTAAAGCTAGGCTATGAATCCTTTCACAAACATCCCTGACATTTTATCGTAAATGACAATTGGACTCATGTAAACAAAAAATTGTTTTTAAATGGTAAATGCTTGTCCATTCTCCTCTGTTTCAAAACAAAAACTTGTTTTCTTTGGTACAGTTACTGAAAGCACAGTGAAAAATAAAGTGTTAAGCTCATAGTTGAAACTTACCTAAAAAGAGGCACTGTTCCCCCATAGGTAAGCCTAAGTTTTCTTCCACGTGGAATTAGGGGATCGACTGCTTTGAGGAAATACAAGGAGGTAAAATGCAGTGATGCGATGATGAGCGAAGTACAGTCTGACCTGGTACTGCCATTGGTGTTGGCTTTGACCAGGGTGTGATCCCTTAATCTTCTCTCTGAGCTCATCTGTTTATGGCACTAAAACACACATACGTAAGTGTGTTCTTATGTATTTGGATGCTCGTTTTTATTATGTATGAGTGTTTCTTTGATATCCTTTTGAATTACTGATACTTTCATGTTTTCCTTCTTAGGTCAAGGTGAAATATCTGGCTTTGAAATCTTCATGGAGGACTACATCATTTCAATCCTGAATCTGAATCACTTCCCTTTTTGCCTTCTTAGTGTATTAAAAGTGTATTACTTAACTGGTACTGGTTTGGTAAAACCTCTGAGATGCTACAAGAATTTTAAAAAATAACCATTACACTCTTCTTATGGTATGTAATGGTTTTACTATTTTGAAATCCACAGGATGGATATTCCATTTCAATATTTAGCTGTATCATCTTTATGCTATCAGAATGTGCTTTAAATTGCTAAATGAAGGCCAGGTGTGGTAGCATATGCCTATAATCCCAGCTCTCGGGAGGCTGAGGCAGGATCATTATGAGTTTGAGGCCAGCCTGGGCTTCATAGTGAATTCAAAGACAGCCTGAGCTAATAGCGAGCCCCTGCCTCAAAAAACAAAAAAAAAATAAATAAATAAATTGCTAAATGAGTTAAAGTATTGGAAAAATAATGTATCTCAGCAAAGAATGTATTTCTTTCATTCGCCCAATTTTTAAAAAAAAACTCCTATTTTACCAACCTGATAATCCAGCTGCGTAGATTTTGTTATAAAGGCAATATGTTTCTGCAGTATTTCTGATAGAAAGTATTTTAAAAGAGGTTGTAGTTTTGTTGTTGGAGCAGATTTTCACTGTTATTGGATTAACAACAGCCACAAACCCCAAATGTTAATACAGAAATAACCTCAAAAACTCAAAAGGTGCTTTGAATGTTAATTTATTTCAAATGCCTCAAGATTTGTTTCCACATAATCATGACAATTCTTTGCCACCTATTCTTAAAATTTAATTAAATGTTTCATAGAAACTTTAGTAACAACCAGGATAATTCATGCCAGTTGAGAAAGCAATTAAGAATAAGCAGAAAGCCGGGCATGGTGGCGCACACCTGTAATCCCAGCACTCGGGAGGCTGAGGCAGGAGGATCACTGAGTTGAGACCATGCCTGGGCTACATAGTGAGTTCCAGGTCAGTTTCAACTACATAGTGACCCTGTCTCAAAAAAAGCAGAAAGAGTTCGTTAAAAGGTTTTTTATTGTAATTATGTATTTTATTTATCTCTTCACTGCTTGCTAGCTTTGCTGTCACACTACAATTTTCAGACTATATAAACACTCATCCCGTTTTCCTTTAACCAGCTTCCTAAGGAAATATGTACAGCTCATCAGGGAATCCTCATGCTGAAGAACTGTAGCAGATGTCATATAACAAATGGGTCCCAGTATATGGAAGAATTTGTTTTCCTAACGTGTTTAAGTATTTCTATAAAGAGCAAGTTTGTGTTTCATACCATTTATGAACTGATAAAATCTCTACTTCATAGACTAATACTTCCTTTTCTAAAGAGGAGGCCTGCTTCCTCTCACCATCACTTTATGAGATCTAAGCTGGGGTTTTCCTGGGAGCTTCTATACCACCCATTTTTTAAGGAACAAGGAAAACTTCTGTATTAGTTATTCTTTCTTATCCACCTCCTCTGTGTTGGTTATCACATCCTGTAGTCTTGATGTTCTTACCTTAACCAGCTTGCTCAGCTGTAAGTAGGAGTCTAGAAAACAGGCTAAAAGGTTGGGATGAAATGGCCATATCCTTTTAAAGAAATCTACATTGTAGTTCAGAGATAATATCTTTATGAATTGGGGCAGAAAGGTGTCAGTGCTATGTACCATGCTAAAAAGTAGCCCTGTGGGCTTACAATGCAGTATTTAAGTTGTGAGATAGTATACTAATCTTTCAGTTCTCAGGGGAGTAGAGTTTAATAAGATGTTGTACTTCTGTTGGATAACCTGTGATGGGACAAGCTTGGTGACTCCTCACATAATTAAACACACAACGATAACAAAACACATAACCAGAGGTGGCAAGAACAGTATCATTCACCCGGGTTTTCCGACACAATGGGCACACAGTTTTCATTTTGGGTAACAGAGGAGAATCAGAGTTGTAATCTAGGTGTATAGGTGGTGGTGGAGTAGGCAGGGCAGTCAGTGACTTGATGGTTTCTTGATTTTCAGATGAGTACCACCAATCAAGGAACTGTAGGAAGAAGACACCCACAGAAAGGCCAGTAGAGAGGGACAGGGCAACACCTCCCAGACCTTTCTTCAGAGCTGACTTTATCTTCTCACTAATACTGTTGGGAAAAGAGAACAATGAGGCAAAGAAAAAAGCTTTTAAGTATAATCCTAGAATCACTAGTATAAATGCAGTGACATACTTTTCATCAGAACCACCGATTTAGCCACTGAAGAGTTGCTAGATTGGCACTGTCTCCTTAAGGCTCTAGATGGTTCTTTTCTGATAGTAATTTATGTACACAGGTGATAAGTTTCATTTTTAATAAAATATTTAGGTTTTTTATTTGAGAAAGACTTAGAGAATTTGATTAGGCTTTTTGTTTTGTTTTTTGTTTTTAGTAGAAAATGGGTCATTCAGAAACAAAAAAATCACTTAAAAAGTTACAGCAGTACTGAACAGTATATATTTGAACTCGTTGGAAAACAAGTAGCTAAAAGTGGCTGCAGTATCATGGTAAAGAGCAGTCTTTAAGACTATTATCTGCCTTGAATCTCAGGTCTGCCATCTTACAGCTAGATAGCTTAGGCCAAGATACTTAGCCATGAGGGCCTGGTGCCCCCAATTGTTAAAGGGAGCACATACTACATTGCATTGTAATGAAGCTTAAGATAATGTACATAAAGCAAACACTTAGCATGGGGCCTGGCACATAACAAGTATGCACTAAGATTTAACTATATGATGAGGAAGGTTACAAGATGGCAGTTCTTTCATGGACACAGGAAAAAAAACTTTTCTCTGATTTTATGAAATAAAGACTGAGGAAGATAAATTTCATAAAGTTGGAGTAAGATTTTAGAGTTTGTTCAAAAGGTGTTTTTAGAAATGTTAAGGCTTACCTCCTGGCTGGCTGCTGCATCACACTGGCTCGCGGTCTCTGCTCCAGAGCTTGTATATCTTGAACTGTCAGCCGACCTAGTCGAACTCCAGCCAGCCTCAGTAAGGGTGAGTGGTGCTGAGCTTTTCCTAGAATGTATTGGAGCTGCTGTACCAGAAACCAGCCTTCCCAGGCCATGTTAACAAATGGGTAGGCTGCCAGGAAGGCTCTGTAAAATCGCTTCCAGTGGGAAGAAGGAGGATGAATAGAATATTCGTCCTCTTCTCGCAAGCTAGAAACCAGCTTCTCCAGCTTCACTTTCAGATAGGGAAGAAGAACCAGGAACATAATTGATTTCCAGAGGTGCTTCCTGGGGAGACCAGCACTGGCCAATGTCTGAACCTTATGAGAGTCCCCCATTACAATACGCTTTAAGCCATAGAAGTTTTCGGAAAATGAGGCACTGGTTTTGGACAGATAATGCTGCTGAAGCAGAAGATCTAGCAGAGTAAAGATTTCATCAAACCACCTCCAAAAGAAGCCCCAGTGGGCAGGATTTGATTCTGCAAGAACCTAAAGCAAAATAAATGAAATTCATTCTTTTACACGGGTACTGTAACTTTATTTACATTTCCTTTTCCCCCCTAAATTCTACACTTTGGCTGAAGTCACTTCTTTTTATTTAACTTCCCTACAATGCTAGTATTCACTACAGGGCTTTAAAGACTAAATATCCATTAGGCGATGGGATGTAAACTATATGCAAATTGGTTATTTCTAACCCTAGACTGCCAAATAAAACTGAATTTTAACCCAGTCGTCTCTGAAACCTTTCAGAAAATTAATGCCTTACCTTGACTACATGCTGAAGAGCAGGCCTCACAGCTGTCATTAAACTGTCTTGTGCTACCACCTCAAAGATGGATGGCTGGTCATCTGCTACAGAAGCAGTTGTGATATGAGCCCCGTACTCAGCCATAGTATTATGTGTGTGCTAGATTTCACTTTTCCCACAAACTCGCTAGTGAGCATGCGCTTTGGGGGGTGTCAAATGAGCGCTGTCTTAAAGGTGATCTTTTTGCATGAAACCCGAATCTTCAACTCAGTTTTACAGGTGTAATTCAACTGAGGCAGAAAGACCTTTGAACTCGGAGGCAAGAAATCTCAGTGAAGTTAGGAATGACGTGTCAAATGCTGCACCCCACAGGTCTGATAGTGACTTTGGGGAACAGGCATGGGCCAAGGGGCGCTGTCTTCTGGAACTGAAAAACAGCTACCCCTCTTATCGTGAGGGCTGAAAAGCCAGCCGGCTCTGAGGAATCGGAGGTACCAGAACGGGCCTGGGACACGAGAACCGGCTCCAGTCGTTAGCTGCAAAGTACCCCCGCCCGCGCCTGTCCTTGCTCGCTGACCCTAGGCTAGGCGCGAAGGGCCCACGACGCCACGTTTGATGGGAAATCTCGTCTTCACGACAGAATCCGCACCCGGAAATAGACGCTGCAGGGATCTAGCGGAGGGCTGGCGGAAGTGAGACAGGCGCTCTAGCCCTGCACACGGCCCTGAAACCGGAACTAGAGAACTCTATGACTCCCTTCAGGGACTTCCGCTTCCGGCCCCCTGAAATTAAAGAGATGACTTGCGGGTTAGTTTTGCCTATGGACCCTCTCCCGGATTTTTTTTGTTGCTTTGTTTTTTGTTTTGGTACCGGGGATCGAACTTGGGACTTTGTGCTTATGAGGCAGGCGAGAGAACCACTGAGCTAAATCCCCGGCCCTATTCTGTTTTGTTTTACTCTAGTTAACTGCATCGTACCCTTGGTGGCAAATGCCTCATCCTCTTATCTGAGGCCTCCCTGGCAGAGTACTTGGAGCGCCACGCCGACGTCTCGCGCTCGCGCCGATAGCCGGAGCTTTGGCCCCTACTAAGACCTGCGGTCTCCGGGCGGGCGGGCGGCAGATCTAGGGGTGGAGGGAGGGAATTAAGTGATGATGGGAAGGCTCTATCTTTCCTACACATATAGCAGGGATGTTGTTCATTTTACCTTCTGCCAAGGCTTTGAAGCGACAGCACAGGACACAGAAGCTATAGCTATATTGTCGCCAATCATAAAGAAAATTTAGTACGTAGGATTATTATGAGAAACTGGAGAAAAGAAAGGATGAGAAAGATTTTAGTTGTTCTTCAGATCTTGGGACAATTACTTTTTAACCAAGGTGGTAGTTTGCCTTACAGGTATTACATCCAACTGTAACTTTAGGCACTTGCTGTATGAGATGAAAGTGATTCCTGCCTTCATACCCAGTAGGACGTGTCATATTAGTGATATGAATATAGTGCGAAAGTGGAGGGGCCTGATGACTCAGGTGTGAGCTGGGAAAGCTTGACAGTTTGTATAGTAAAAGTAATATAATTTGCCATACAATTTGCAAGATGCAACTTGCATACAACTTTATCTCGTTTTAGTTACTGATACAAGTTTATTGGATTTGGATAAGAGGTCAGCTTTTCTCGTAACTTTTCCCACTTCTGGGCTAGATATCGAGAAATAGAAGGTATTCTTCACTGCTCTAGAGTATCTTACTATGTAAAAGTAGGCAACTACTTTGCATATAGAGAACTGTCCGAAAAAAAAATCTGGTTGTTTTGTTTCTACTGTTAAAGTCTCCCTTGATTACAGTTCAAAAATGTTCTTTCCTCTAATGAAATATCTGCCAGAAAAATATTTTTACAACTAATGTGTCTGTATAAAATATCTGGTCCCCAAGCCAATTATAACTACTATAATATATATAAACTTAAGTAAGTAAAAATAAGAAGTTTAGAAATAACATTAAAACACGTGGGGAATTAAACAGTTATGTTGACCAGGTTTCAAGCAACAGAAACAGGCTAAAATAAAAAATTTACTACAAGTGTATGGAATACCTCACAAAATAAGCCTGACCTGAAAGAACAGCAACTACACAATCTCATTGGATTTGTGTAGCAGGAATTAGGTCTTAGGCAGGCAACACTGTTACAATGAATGAACTTCAGTTTATATTTGTCACTGTGCTCATGATTCAAATTCCAATTGACCAATTTTGGCTTAGGTTTCCTTTTTACTTTATTTTACTCTTAGCTAGAAGAGGGGAAAGGAGCCTTGATTAATAGTCCCATGAGAATGCTCCAAAAGTAAACTGAAGTTACTATATGAGAAAAGGAAAGGCCATCCAAAAAATGTCATTTATCACAGTCAACAGGCCAAGGGAGAAGCATAAAGTAAATATGAGAAGGAAATGGCTTAGTTTGCTTTAACCATTGAGGAACAGAAGTAGTGGAGGGTAATGTTGGAAAGCAGATTTCGATGGATTACTGAAGGCTTTCATTTCTGGCCTTACAACTTAACTTACTGTGGAAATTCATTTATTCAATAAATAATGAGAATTTTTTATGTGCCAGGCATTTTGCTTGGTATTGGACATAAAACTAATAAAAAGAGACATGGTACCCACCCTCATGGAGTTTACAGTCCAGTAGGAGATATAGTAAATAAACCCATGTAATTTACAATTGAATAAGAGGGATGGGATAAAGGTGGCAGGGAGGGCTGGGAGAGAAGCTATTAAGATTGGGTAATCAGAGAATGCCCTTCCTGAAGCATAACTGAACTGAGACCTAAGTTACGAGAAACTGGAGAAAAGAATATTAGGAGGGGTAGTGTTTGGGAAGTCCCTAAGGTCAGAAAGAGCTTGTATGTTTGAAGGCTACTGTAGCTAGAAAAGTCGGGGGAAGTGGCCAAAAGACGTAAAATACTATTAGGAGCCAAACGATACAGGAGCCTGAGTTTTGAATCATGGGAATGCACTGAAGGGTATGTATACCAGAGACATGAACAGGTTTACATTTTTAAGAGATACTTTCCTGATAGTTGTAGGGGTATATTTACTTGATATATCAAGCTTTTGCATTTATGATGTATCCACTTTCTGAACGTATGCTAAACTTAAAAAACAAAAAAGCCTGAAAACTTGGCTGCTCTGTGGAGAATGGTCAGATGTAGAAGCTTCTACTCTAGGAAAGAGACAAATTTGGCCTGGTTTTATGAAGTAGAATAAAGGAGACTGGATGAAATTTGAGATGTATTTTGAAGGTGGAATTGACAATTTGGGGGGGACTAGATGAAGTAATGGGGGTGGGATCAGAAAGCCCTAGGTTTCTTGCTTCAGCAATTCAGTGCAGTTTACTTAATCACAACCATAGCAATTGTTTACATAGTCCATATGACATGCCAGGCATAATTCTAAGAATGTTACATAATAATTCATTTTCAATATTGTAATAATATTATTACTGGATGTGTCCATTTCCCTCATTTTGTAGATGAGAAAACCAAAGAAAGCATAGAGACAAGGAAACGGAGAGCAAGAATTTTGAGTATGTTAGTCACAAGGTACCACTTTTAAGTTTTCGAACAGGAGAGAAGTGTGAACCAGCATTCTTTTTTTCTTTTTGGTGCTGGGGCTTGAACTCAGGACCTTGTGCTTGTAAAGCAGGCGTGGTGCCACTGAGCTAAATCCCAGCCCACTTAAAGACTTTTCTGGTGACATTTTCTTTTCAAAATCCACCCAGTCTACTAGGAGTTGTTCCCGGAACAACTTCCTGCCTTTATTTAATTTTAGTGGGTCATAAATATAGAATTACTAAGGACAGTGCTTAGTGGATTTAGTGAATTTGGGAAATAAGTCAAGGCTAGAGAAATTCTGGAGTCATACGCATATGAAAAATGATTAAACCCATGGTGTTGCTAATACGTTAGTGTAGAAAAAAATGTATTGAGTGGAGACCTAAACTTTATTTATTCTGGAGAATGAACACAGGGTTTTAAGCATGGTAGGCAAGTGCTCTTCCACTGAGTTATCCCCAGCCCTTTTTATAAATTATTTTTTTTCAGAGCCAAACTATTTCAATTTTTATTGTTTTGTTTTTCTTTTCTTAAAACAGGGTCTAAGTTCCCAAGGTTGACCTTGAACTTGTGATCCTCCTGTCTCACTCTCTAGGGTAGCTGGTAACACCTGGCTGAACTAAATTAAAAAAAAACAAAAAAACAAACTATCACTTTCTTCCTCAAATATGAGCACAATCCTATAACTCTTCTTTTTTCAGTTTCTTATGAGATATCCATCACTCCTACTTCTATTTCCTCACCTCCATTTCACCCTCAGTTTAGCAGCATGGCTATAGCCTTCATATCTCTCCTGATCTTTCCAGCAATGACATCTCCTCATATATTTTACAATGTTACACAAAATCTGATTTACCATGTTTACATTCTTTCGTTTTACACCTTGATTTCCAACGCTCCCTATTTTAAGAACACATGAATTTCATTTGAAATTTTTACATTTCATTACTTACCTGAAAACTAAGGATTATTTCATAATTATTATTATTATTTATTTTGAGACAGGATCTCACCAAGTTGCCCAGGTTGGGTCCAAATTTGCAATGCTCTTGTGTCAGCCTTCCAGAGTGCTGGGATTAAAGTGTATGCCCCCACATTGGTGAGAATGAAAGTTTAAAATACACACTTTTGGACTCAGAGTTGACAGGCAGAAATGTGAGGGAACAACCAACCATCCCTTGTTCTCTAACCTACCTCACATCTTCAAATAAACCTTAGGGACAGTTGGTTTCACTTAGCCTCATCATCCTTATCCGGTAACAGATCCCAGTCACATTCAGCGCAGGAATTCAAACAAATACCTTCTCAATGCCCTATCTTTGCATCACTCGCCCCTGGCCCACAGCCCATGCATGGTCCCAAGCTGCACCTCCACTGTCAGCTCCTGAGCAAGAAAAATTAGCCGGGGTTGGTTTGCTTTAAAGTTTGTTTTACGCCTCTGTACGTTTAAGAAAATTCCTATGCGAGGAAACAAATCCAGAGAATATCAACTTGTCTAATATATTCATTGGGATAGCGAGCGACCATCTTGGAAGCCCCAGTCTCCACGCCTTATTTTAACCAAGGGAGGGAAATTTTTTTTCTGTCTCCGAGGCGACCAAGACGCCTACCCTTCTGTCTCTCCCGCGCATTCAGATGACTCTATGCGGCGAGGTCCTTTGACGTCAAAGTTTCCGGCCCACCATCTTTGTCCCTGGCAAAATTGGGTTTTGCGCAGTGGCTTAGACCAAGAGAAAGAATCGTGACGGGCAGGAAACCATTACAACACCACCCGGGCTGTGCTCTCTGGCAGCCACCGCCACTCCCAGCCCTTGCCTCCGGTGAGTTCGAGGCTGCTGGTTTGGGGTGTGTCCCTAATTGTTGAGGTGGGGAAAGGAAGAGAAAGTGGAAACCCCAGGTTCGGTCAGAGACCGGGGAAGAAAAGGAAATCCTAGGAGCGTGACCATTGAGGATGGAGGGAGTCTCGTCGGGTGTGTCCGTTGTGAGGAAAAGGGTTGGAGAAAGGGTTTCCTTCGCGGTGAAACTGTGGTGGGAGGAAGGACTGCCTGGCTGTGGCAGTTGGTTGGGGGCTTTGAAGGGATAATATTTCCGGGCCTGGGGGGTTGGAAGGCCGAGCCCAGGGGTGTGGCCGGTAGACGCTGGAGGCCGAGGGGTAACGGTCCTTCTTCCAGCTGGGCGTCGCTGGAGAGGCTGGGACGGGTCCGAGGGGAAGGGGGTCTCCCCGGCGTTTTTTCCGTTGAAGCGTCGCCTGTCTCCCGCGACTTGAGCTTTAGAGACCCTTCCCCAACCTGGTAATGGGCGAATGTGGCCCTAGAGTCTTGACCCCCTGGGGAAGGAAGAGAGAAACCTACCGAAATGATCCGGTGTGAAAGAGGGGGAAGACAATGGAAGTAAATCCTAGCCTAGACCCCCGACACACACTCCCACCCCGAGTTTAGCAGGAACAGCCTGGTTTGGAAAGGGTTGTAGATTACGCCGAAAGTAAAGAAACTGGAATTTCCTGTTATTTCCATATTCTTTGAAGAATGTGTGTTGGTAGTTTTTAGAGCAGTCCTCTCTTTGGGAGCAGGTTTTTATTGAACTCACTTGCCTACCTCATTATGTGAATGTGATGTGGGTGCTTCATAAACTTTTGACTTTTCAAAGAAAAGTTGTTTTTTTAAACTGCTAAACACAACCCTTGTGGTTTAAAAGAAAAAAGTAACGAAAACACAATAAACTCAGAAAGGATGACAAAAAAAAAGTGTGGTTTCAGTAAGGAGCGATTGAAATTATTAATTGCCACCCTTGTATAGTTCTGTTGCTTAGCCTTAGGGTGCACTTACAAAGTAATAATAGAAAGTAGCAGATGAAGGAAATGAAGGTGTAGAAGAAAATGTGTAACACATTCCGATGATGACTAAGCGTGCTGGTAAGGTGAGAACTGTTTGCAGGTATCTTAACAGTTCAAACTCCTTAGAAAATAGCAAAGATAGTGTGTTGTGAAGATAGCCTCGCTGAAAGTTGAGTAGGGTTAATATAAAGTTAGCGTTCTGACTGAATTGAAGAGACTCAAGTTAACTTTTTTTATTTTTCTTTAAAAGATCATCATTTTAGAATAGGAGTATGTTATGGGTGTGGGTTTGAACCAAGATAAGCAAAGAAATATGAAGATGGAACATGGTCCCTTCTTTTCTTCCATGTTTAAGTTTTCCAGAATGTATTGGTAGTTCATAACAACTGGATGGAAACATTTGTTCTTCTTTCTTTTTGTGTAATACAGTACTATGTTAACACATTGCTTTGTAGTCTATAATATTTAAATAAATTGAAGGTGATTTTAGCTTTCAAATGTTTGTAATTTCTAATGAGCTAAATGGTACCTGAAGATGTTACTGTGTTGTTACTGAACTTTTGATTAAAAATGAACACCTCTAGCCAGGCATGGTGGTGCATGCCTGTAATCCCAGCACTGGGGAAGCTGAGGCAGGAGGATCACTCTTGAGTTCAAGACCAGCCTGGGCTACACAGTTAGTTCCAGGTCAGTCTCAACTACATATTGAGACCCTGTCTGAAAAAAAACAAAAAAAATGAACATCTCTAATCCTTGTAATAAAAGGTTGCTGAAATAACCTTTCCGCTTTATAATTTCTTGACTAGTTTTTCACTGTGTGCACTGAACTGTGTAAAACCAGGGTGTGATTGCCTTAACCAACACTAATTTAGCTTCTATTTCCCAGAGAGCTATTTGAAATTAGGATCTTATTAATTTTTTTCTGATCTTATTTCTACCCATGCAATAGTCTTATTTTGAAGCTGCTGAGCTTCTCTTTTAGGGAACTGGAAGGAGGGAGGAGTGGAAAGAGAGGAAGGCCTTTCACAACCTATATTTGGAAGAAACTAGGTTATGTTAAATCTAGATATATAATCCTGTGCAAGGAGGCCTTTTGTGAAATGTGGTGACATCACACTCTGGGTCAGGACCAAAAAGAGTAATTTTGTGCTTGGATTGTGATAGCTTTGTTAACAGGTTCCCTAGGTTCTCAGAAGAACCAGTGATTTGTCAGGTTTGATCTGGTAAAGTAGTGTGAGTTCAGTTTTCATCATGGCTTTACTTACTTATGGGGCTCTCCTGAGGAATAACCTGTCCTGCCCCCCCATTTTGATTTTTGATGCATTTTAGGAAATAATTTTTTCTTCAACTCCATCTTGTATACTTTTTCTGTGGCTTCTAATGCAGACATCAGTTTTTACTGTATTTTGAAGAATCTGGCCATATATATGTCCTTTTTTTTTTGGTTTTTTGAGACAGGGTCTCACTATGTAGTTGAGACTGACCTGGAATTCATTATGTAGCTCAGGCTGGTCTGGAACTCACAGCAATCCTCTGCCTGAGCCGCCCAAGTGCTGGGATTACAGGCGTGTGCCACCATGCCCAGCTGATATGTCCATATTTTAAAAAATTCACATCATATAAGATTAACCATTCTAACATGAACAATCAGTGGCATGGAATATATTCATAGTATTGTGTAGCCACTACCTCTTCTCATTTTTTTAGACTATTTTCACTTTTGGTGGAGTATTTTTTTTGCGGGGGGGTTTAGGGCAAGGACCAACTTGGTATGCTCTTTTTCCACCCATATAGTGAATATTTCATTCCAGTGGTGTCAGTTAGTGATATTTATCTCCTCTCTTTAGACCCCTACCCCATCCCGCCACCCTCGGATTGAACCCAGGGTCTAGTGCCTGCTAGGCAAACAACTCTATCCCTAAACTCCATTCTCTACCCCTTATCTCTTAACAGCAGAGATTCTTCCTTTAAGGTCCCTGTTATGGGCTTCTAAAGATATTTGACCCTCTTTTCATCCCTGAAATGTGGGTGGTTGCATTATTTAGATAAGATTAGAACATTTAAATCTCACAACGAACAGGAAGAAATATATTCCTTTGCAATGAAATTTGTTAGAGATAATGAAATGTGTGGTTTATTAATGAAGGTATTGATTTAAGACTAGGTTTACTATTTAACAGAAAAGAGCTTTAGAAAACAGAATAATTGTGTACACTTTTTCCAAGAAGCTGGTTGAAAATTTCCAAGCAAATTTTATTTTTAATATATTTAATTTATTTATTTTGGTACTGGGGATCAAACTCAGGACTTTGCACTTGTCAAGGCAGGCTCAGAACCACTGAGCTAAATCCCTGCCCCAAGCAAATTTTATATTTAAATCTTAAGCAAGTTTTAAGTTTTGATGATCCCAGGGGATCTAAAATGGCCAACAATATCCTAGATAGACCAAATAATTTGAACTATAGTGTTCCTGTCAGGCTTTTATAAACATTTCTGTATATTGGTTTATCTCTGTGTATTTAGATAACTTTGGATTCATTCCATGTCTTTTTTATATGAAGAATTCCTGCCTGGTGATCGCAGCACTCAGGAGATCACAGGATCAGTGCTCAGAATCCCAACACTACCTGTAATTCCAGCACTCAGGAGGCTGAGGCAGGAGGATCCTGTTTAGGCTATGTAGTGAGTTCAAGGCTCCCTTGAGCTGCACAGTGAAAACCTGTCTCAACCCACCTCCCCCCCAAAATCCTTTCTTTGTCCACTTTGCATTTAATTTACAATGTGAAGGGATTAAATGATTATAGTATTCTTTGAATTTTTGCTAGAAAGCCATTACGAAAACACCAAATAAGGCAAGCCTCTGTTACAGACTTTTAATTGTAACAAATGTTAGAGTAGAAATTTCTGTAATCTATAATGATATTGGTGGGTTCTAGCTCACTTCTTTTAACATGGTAATTCAGTGACGTTTTGGTACAACCTAAAGGACTCTATTATGTTAGGATCAAGATAGTAAGTCACCTGTTAGAAGGATAGCAAATAAGTCTTAATTTCTGTTAGGTTTTACATAAAGCAAATTTTAGTGATCAGATTCAACCCAGACTCTTTTCATTATTTTAGGTTTATCTGGTTCTTTTTCTTTAACTAAATTGATTGGTACTTTAGGTCATTTCTCTTAGATCCATATTTATTATTGTTTGCCAAATGTGTTATCACTCAAGTTGTATTAATTTAATAGTAATGAATAGGTGCCAGGATGTCTTGTCCTGAATTATAATGTTAGGGAAAGAGATACACGTTTTTAAGTGCAGAAGGAATATCATTTAAAGAAAATTGAATATATTTAAAGTCAGATATGTTGGATAGAGTCCTAGAGTTTCTTTTTCTTTTTACAATTGTATTAGTACATGTGCAGAACATGAAGTTTATATTCTTGATTTTTTAAACTTTCCTTTCCTTTCCCTACTCACCTCCCTCCCTCTCTCTCTAGATTCCCTTTCTCCACATTTGTTTTGTTTTGCTGATTTTTGAGACAGGGTCTTGCTATTAGTCCAGGCTGGCCTTGAACTCCCCCTTATGGATCCCATTTTGGCCCCAAACTCAGGGTCCTCCTGCCTTAGCCTCCTGAGTATTAGGATTACAGATGTGTGCCACCATTCCTGGCTAGAGTTTCTCAAATCAGAAAACATCATCTCATTAATTTGAGTTCATGTTGGATTTCATTTTGATATACTGGGGTAATTCTTCTGGGGTTTGGGCTAGAAAAGTTAGGTTGAGGCTTAGATCCATGTTCTTTTATGTTTTAATGCCAGTTTTGATTATCTTGTACTCTGTGTGACTGAACAAATATCTGTCTTTTGCCTTGTTTTTAACTGTTATTAACTGATACTATTCTTTGGAAATATTATTGCGATAAATCTAGAATGTTGCTATTATGAAGACAACAGTTTTTTGAAATCCATGTATAAGACATGTTTGACTCTGGATGTTTGTTGTGAAGAACTATTACCCTACCAATTTAGACTTTTTTTTTCCTGAAAGAAATTCCTTTTATAGAAGGTTTGCATGTTTTGTTTTTGTTTTTGTTTTTGTTTTTGTTTTCTGGTACCAGGGATTAAACTCAGGACCTTCCTCTTACAAGGCAGGTGTGGCACCACTGAGCTAAAATCCCTGGCTCTAGGGGTTTTGCATGTAATATTGAATAAGTTGGGAGAATTGTTCTACCTGACTCTCTGTCTCTCTGACATAAGGTCTTTATATACAGTCCAGGCTGGCCTTGAACTATGTATCCTCCTGCCTCAGCCTCTTAGCTGCTAGAATTATAGCCATGGGCCATCATGCCTGGCAAAGAAAAAAGAATTACTTTTTGATACTGGGGATCTCGAACCCAGTACCTCATGCATGCTAGACAAGCACTCTACCTCAGCTATATCCCCAGTGTGTTTTCTCTTTAGCCTTACACTGCTTCTGAATATATGCTTTGGAGTGATTCCCTCTTGAAGCAAGGAAGTAGCCAAATATTCCTGAGTAGAAACTTATGAAGAAAGCTTTCAAAACAAATAAAAAACTATTCCTTACCCTAAATAGATGAGTGACTAATTGAAGATATATTTACAAAGAAGTCTAGTTTTCACTCTTGAAGGCTTTGAGGCAATACTTCCAGATAAAAATCACAAATCCATAATAAGTTCAGATTGTTGTCCCTTTCCATTTGGCCTTTATTTGTAATTTATTTCTATTTGGCCTTTAGACTTTGCTCCTATATAACTTTGTTAGGCAGGAGTTATATATTTTAATATTCTCTGTATCTTTTGTGACACTGAGGGTGATAGTAAGGGAGAAGATACTCATTTTTGAGGGTAGAAATTCTCTAATAAAAATGTCCTTAAAATGAGTTTAATATTCTTAGAACTGACCCAGTGACTTGCTGGATATATATAACCTAGATAAGGAAATTCTTTTCTCTCGCTGCAGGGGTACATTAAAGATCCAGAATCATGACTGATTCCAAGTACTTCACAACCAATAAAAAGGGTAAGTAGAGCACCTGGTCAAATCTTGGGGATTTTTAAAGTTTTAGGTTAGATTGTCCCAAGTAGAATTCAGACATTAATTTTATGGACAGCCTTATTGGCAATCTACTGCTTCTACAGATAAATGTATTTCAGTAAGTTATTAAAGTATAAAGTTGTTTTGTTTTATTGGGTTCTTTTGTCGTTGGGGGGGCACATCTAGGGACCCAACGTAGGGCCTCATGAATGCTAGGCAGTCATTCTACCACTGAGCTCCCCATCCAGCCCTGAAGTATAGATATTTTTTGTTTTGTTTTGTTTGTTTCTTTTTCTGAAGTATAGGTTTTTAAAGACAAAGCTGTAATGCATATTGTTTTGCTGGGAAGGTTTTAGTTTAGTGAAAGGAAGGGACTCTTTGCTAATTGAAAGTAACACCGATCAATTGAAGAGTGATAGATCTGAGGAAGACAAGAATTTATTCTAATTTTTACTTGGAAATAAAAAATTTATAACAATACAGTTAAAGCTATATGTAAAAAGGTAAAAATTGAAGTTTGCCCCCTCATCCCTATTTCCAAGTGATAATATGTATCTTCAGTATTTTCCTATGCATATAAGTACATTGTTAATACATATTAGAATGTTTATATTTAGTGAAAAAGAGATAATGCAAAACAGTATATAAAAACATTATATTCTTCAAAGCACTCCATATAGATCTATCTCACTCTTTGTCTAGATGTGTATTTGAAATGGGGACCTCTAAAGCTGGCTCTATGATTTTTTAGGCCATAGACTGAATTACTTGAGTAACCTTACACTTAATTAGCCTCATCATTTTCATCCTTTCTTTTTTTTTTTTTAAATACTGGGGATTGAACTCAGGACCTTGTGCTTGCCAGGCAGGTGCAGCACCATTGAGCTACATCCCTGGCCCTCCCTCATTGTCGTCTTTTTGATGAGTAACCTCATGCTGGTTTTTACATAGGAATTTGGGTTCATGAACTAAGGATTCTTAGAAAAGTCTAACCTCTTATCTTTTTTTTTGTAGTATATATTTATAGTACATAAAGATTATATTCCTTATGGGATAACTTCTCATCTTTTGAAAATCGTTCATACCTCATTACAGAGGTATAGATGGCTCTCACATCAAAGACAGAATAATTTAGCTCTTATCTGCCTACTACAATGTCCACTATCTTGCTTTGTTTTTCAGAATCAGAATTCTGTGCTTTTGCCTTCAGCAGGCCTTATATTTAGTAACATAGTCTTATGTATGACACCAACTACTATTCTTCTTTTGCTCCTGTTCTTTAAAAGGGTGGTTTCTTTTTTTGTTTGTTTGTTTTGTTTTTGGTACTGGAGATTGAACTCGGGACCTTGTGCTTTTGAGGCAGGCAGGTGGTGGAACCACTGAGCTAATGTTTTATCTTTTTTTTTTTACAAGGATTGGGATCAAGTTGCTACAAAGGACATTACTGAGACCTTTAAATAAGGTCTATAGATTGAATTAGATAATGTACCAATGTTTTAATAATTTTATTAAGGTTAAGAGAATTTCCTTATTCTTAGAAAACATACACTGACATACTTAGGCTAAAGAGGTGTGATGCATGCAGGGTATACAAATATGGAGAAAGTTGCCAGGCATGGTGGTACACATACCTGTAATCCCAGCACTAGGGAGGCTGAGATAGGAGGATCTGCTGTGAATTTGAGGCCAGCTTGGGCTACATGGTGAGTTCAAAGGTAGCCTGAAAGGGGCCAGGGATTTGGCTCAGTGGTTCCGGTGCCTGCCTCACAAGCTCAAGGGCCCGAGTTCGATCCCTAGTACAAAAAGAAAAAAAGCTAGTCTGAACTACATAATGAGACCCCATCTCAGAAAATCAAAACCAAACATTATGTGTGTGTGTATACATACGTATATGTGTGTATGTAAATATATATATAATACTTATGTGAATGTTAAAGCAATTGTGACAAAATATTAATAGCTGGCACTCACATTTTTAAGATTGAAGTTGTTTTTAAAAATTTTTAAAAAGTAGAAGGGCGTATAGTATTGGCCTGGACTAAGCACCAACACATTTTTTAGAAAGCTTAAGAAATCTGTCATATTCTATCATTAAGAGTATGTAAAGGGCCAGGGATTTAGCTCAGTGGTTCCATTACCTGCCTTGCAAGTGCAAGGACCTGAGTTCAATCCCCAGTACCAAAAAAATAATAAAGTATGTATAGGTAACCATTTTATTCTATTACAGTACAGAAAAGCCTATAGTGAATTGCTTAGTTACATCTGCTACTAATCAGTGGCTTACAGCCTTGGCTACACATTGGAGTTGGCCCGGAAACTTTAAAACAATACCAATGCCTCAGTCTTATCCCCAGATGGCAGAGTGTAGAGATTTTGAAAGCTCCCCAGATTATTTTAATGTGTAGCCAAGATTGAGAACCATCGCTAGTTGCTAACAATGCTCGATAGATTGGATTAGGGAAAATATGAAGGAGAAAAAGATAAGAATCTAATAAAGTTAGAGTATATACAATGTACTTTGCCTCTTTTAATACCCCTCTTTGGCTCCACCCAGCTTCTTCCTCCCTATCTTTTATTATTTACACCTCTCAAAAGCCATAAACCTCTGGTCATTCATTTCAGCTTTTCCTGGCTTTTTTAATCATTTGGCGATGTATTTGTTTTTTCTTCTGTTAACATTGCTTTGATGACCAACTTATTGCTTATGATAACATAAAAAGATCCCAAAAAACTCACCTAGGTTTTCAAACCTCTTTAAGGAATCCTGGTGGCTTCTTTTTATTTGAGCATTTATAGAAGTTTGAGACTTACAGATTGAATCATGACTGGATAAATAACACATTCCAAAAAAAACTGAATAGCCTGTGTTCTTTTGCTTCCTGCAACGCCCACAAGAACTGCCACTGGAACATACAGTATTCTTTAAATTTAGGCTATTGGAACTGGAATAATTTCAGTTACAGCCTGTTTTGATTCTGCAACTATGCTGCTATTCACAGTTCAGAATTTCTGAAACACTGTTATTTGTCCTCCACTGTTCCCAGAAGTAAATGAGGGAACCCTAAGTACTGGATTTGGCAGCATAGCACTTGGAGAAGAGGATAATGACTTGTTAAAGGGCCTAGCCTCTCTGGCTGTGCTATTTTTGCAGCAGTTGAACAGTGATTTAATTTGTCAATTAGTGATTTTTATAAGTTTGCTTGCCTTTTGGCAGTGGATATTGATGAAAGAAACTTTTAATGCTCACCTCATTGATTTCATCCTTTTCCTTTTGGGGCTTCAAGGGGTCGCATAGTGTCAGACTGGTCAGTGAGGGCTGGGTAGAATGAACATCTAGAGCAGTCTTAAAGGTGGAGGAAAATGAGGCAATAGTATGGAGAAGTTCAAAGGTAGAGATGGGATGCATCAAACTTTCTCATGGGCTTAGTAGAGTTTTTTGTTTTGTTTTGTTTTTATTTAAAAAGAAAAGGGTTATTACTTTGTTTTTTATTTCATCCCCAATGTTCTGAAGATAAAAGAGCCAGAAAGCTATGCCTTAAAGTAATGGTGACAGCCTCTGTCATTTCACAGTGAGGGACGAGGCAGTCATTCAAGATTATGCCTTTAGAAATGTCCCTAGTTTGTACTGTTCTTGCAACATCAAAATTATTCTCTTTATATTCTTTGAATAGGATGGAACCTTAAAGCTATTCTTGTTATCTTACTACAGTACTGACTAAAGCAATGATTTGCAATACTGGTTGTGTATTAGAATCAGTTGGGGAAGCTTTTAAAAATGTGAATATAAAGCTGAGCATGGCAGCACACACTTGTAATCCCAGCATTCTAGGAGCCTGAGGAAGGAGGTTTGAAAGTTCAAGTCCAGCCTGGGCAACTTAGTGACTCAACAAGAACCTATCTCAAAATTTAAAAAAAGCACTGGGAACATAGCTCAGTGCAGATGACCTAAGTTGAATCCACAATACCAAAAAAAAAAAAAAAAAGAGAGAGAGAGAGAACATGAATTCTTCTTGATCATTCTGATTCATTTGGCTTACAGTAGAGCCAAATATTTTAAAATATTTCCCAGTGGTATTAGCGCTTGATCAAGGTTGAGAATGTCAGGACTCAGAGTCAGGAAGCAGCTGTAAGAATCCAGCTATGTCAATAACTGACTTTGACCTTTAATCTATAAAGTTGGGAGTGAGTAAATGAAATGATATGTGATACTTCTTGTTTGGAAATACTAATTTCTAAGCCGACTTCCTGCCTGCATGTATTTTTTTTTTCCTGTGATACCTTAAATTCTGATGAGAGATCATCCCTTAGATACTGTTCTTTCCCCATTGTGGTTAGATATGTTCCCATTTGTCTGGTTCCTAAAGATCTGGATTGTATCATAGCTTCTTAGAAGGTTTTAAAAATTTCTTGGTAGTGTCCATGTAGTGGGCCAGTTAGTCTTCTAGGATTTGAATTTTATGTTCTGTGATTTTTAAAAAAGTAATCTTTGGTTCTTGCCATGCTTCCTAGTTTTATTGCATATTGAATATTTTATTGAATATTGTGTAATATTCTGCTCTCCTTCTCTGGTCCTGAAACCTCACCCATTTGTCCTCATCTCTTCTAGGAGAAATCTTTGAATTAAAAGCTGAACTCAACAATGAAAAGAAAGAAAAGAGGAAGGAGGCTGTGAAGAAAGTAATTGCTGCTATGACTGTAGGGAAAGACGTTAGGTAAGGGTAATCACTTCTGCCATTGGTCACTAAAAAGATCTCAACCCCATTTTAATGGCTTTTACTTGCTTTTCCTTTAACATGATAGACATAGTGGGGTTATGCTTCTCAGACTAGCTACTCTGGAGGCTGAGGCAAGAGAATTATCTGAGCCCAAAAGTTTGGGTCCAGCCAGGGTAACAGCAAGACCTCTTCTTAAAAAAAAAAAAAATTTTTAAACAAACAAACATAAATCCTCCTTTAAGAATGAGTTTGTCTCACTAAAAACACCATCAGGAGATGTACTTGCTATTCTGTTAACCATCAAAGTGTTTTGTTTGTTTTATAGAAATAAAGTGACTTTTTTTTTTTTGCATGCTGATCTAGCGTACAATCTCCTGAGAGCTGACACAGTTATAGGTGAGGTAGTTTGGAAGATGATAGAAACACACTGAGAAGCAGAAGCTTACGTATTCTTCAATTGGCTCACACCAGTACCCTTAACTTTACAACTCTACATGCAGTTGTTGAATTTAAGATGAAAATTAGTGTCAACAGTAATCCAGTGAGAGTATTTGAAAGTAAGGATTGTCTGCAGGCCCCTTAGGACTCCCATGACCCTTTCAGGGGGTCCATGAGATCAACACTATTTTTATAATAATACTTAGATTTTGCTTGCCTTTTTCTCCATTTTGACACTTGCACTTCAGTTATAAAGCAGTGGAAGGTAGAACTGCCAGTGCATTACCATGAATCAAAGCAGAGATGCTGGCCATAGCATTCATTGTATTTTCCATCACCATCTATTTACAAGGAGGAAGGGCAGTTTCACTTAGGACTGTCCTTCATCAAGCATTAAAAAAATTACTTTATTAAAACTTGAGCCTTGGGTATATGTATTTTCAGTATCCTGTAATGAAAAAGGAATTACCCATAAAGCTTTTCTGCTGACCTGCAAAGTGTAATGGTTGACTGGGGAAAAGGCCTTGGGTGATTGTTTGAATTGCAAATACCAATACCATTTTTATGTGAAAGAATGATTGACACACAAGCTATATTTAATCAGACTTTGGTATTTGGGAGACATTTTATCAAAAGGAACAAAGTGAACCTGTCATTTCAAGTGGAAAAAATTTTGACAGTAGATAATTTTAAAGCTTTAAAGTAAAAATTCGAATTTTAGGAAATGTGTATCTCTTACTGAGTTTGACAGCTTCTTGATACTTAAGTGCGTTTTTGAAAGTGCTTTCCTAATGAGATTTGGTGATAAACTTAAATGGATATGATATTTTACTATTATGTAATGAAATGTGTCAGTATGGGAGGATCTGCATAAATCAATGAGCCAGTATTTTCCAAATAATCCTATTTCCCAAAATTATACATAGGTAAAAATCTGTTACAATGCATAATAAATGAATAAATTTTTATGCAACCATGTACAAAAAGTTCATTGATGTGGTTTTATATTCCACATTTCTAGCTTTTCTTTTTTTGGTTTCTTGAGACAGAGTCTCCCTATGTAGTTCAGGCTGGCCTTGAACTGATTGTGTAGCCAGGCACGCTTCATCCTCCTGCCTCAGCCTCCTGAGTGCTGGGATTACAAGCATGCAGTGCCATGTCTGGCTCATGTTTCTAACTTTTAAAAAACAACCATTTGTGGACTGAAAAAGAGAAAAACAATCACATAGTTTTAGTATAATATCAAAGAAGACTACCCAGCTATATGAAAAACCTGTTAAAGTATTTCTCCCTTTTCCAAATTTTGTATGTGTAGGAAGCTAGCTTTTCTTATACTTCAACCAAACCATTACATCATTCTTCAACAGGTAAATGTAGAAGATTCAAGAATCCAGCTATCTTTGTTTAAACTAGCTATTAAATAATATTTGCAAACATGTAAAACAGTGCCATCTTCTCGTTATTACTTTAATATATTATTAATGGGTTGTTTTAAGTAGATTACTTTGTTTTCTTAGATTTAGTTCCTATTGTAATAAAACCCATGCGGTATAAACCGTGTGAACAAAACTTGCTGGGGATCTCAGTGCAGCCACATAAGTACTTTTTAATTTTCTAGTAGGCATATCAAAAACATAAAAAGAAACAATTGAAATTAATTTTAATAATGTTTCATGTCATTCAGTATACTGAATATTATTTCAAATGTATACACACGCACACACTTACTTTTTATTTTTGGCTGGTGGTGGTACTGGGGATTGATTCCAGGGTCTTTGCACAAATCTATACCTCCAGCCCTTTTTTAATTTTTTATTTGTGACACAGGGTCTTGCTAAAGTGTCCAGGCTAGGCTTTACATCCTTCTGCCTTAGCCTTCCAGAGAGCTGGGATTATAGGCATGCACCACTGTATCTCACTTTCATAAATGATTTTTAGTGAAATAGTTTATATTGCACTTATCACACTATCTTCAAAATTTATTGAGTGTTTTACATTTGCATTGCATTTCACTTGAGGCCAACCATATTGCAAAGAAGCTACATGTAACTAATGGCCACCATATTGGCAAGTTTAGATTTCTAGCTTTCTGGATTGATACTTAACAGTTTTTACCTCTTGAACCTAGACTGTTAAATCGTATTGGTCTTCTGTGGCTTGTCAGAATTAATTTAGGATCTTCCATTTACTACTGTATTGGGGAAAAAATTTACTATTGGTTAATGCTTCCTATGTATTTACTGATTTTATAGTCATTTTGCACATAAGCCATTTTTCTAGAAAGTGGAAAGAAAACTCATTTGGAGAGTGTTTCTTAGATATTTATATGTGCATGAAACTGCACTAGATACTATACGGACAAGTTAAATACAATTTGGTACCTTCCAGAACATAATCGGTGGTGGTTTGTTGATGTAACAAATTCTTTGAATTTGCAGATAAGTTTTTTTTTTTTTTTCTTTTTCTCTATTTTTTTCCTTTGAAGACAGTGTCATGTATAGTTCAGGCCAGCCTTGAACTCACTGTGAAGCCCAGGCTGATCTCAAACCTGGAATCGTCCTGCCTCTGCCTCCAGAGTGCTAGAATTACAGGCATGTACCACCACACCCAGCAGTCCATCTTTTTATAAATAATTTCTTTCATACCTCACTTTTGTGTGTGTATAGGAATTACACTATTTGACCAATTCATTCATTTTTTTTTCTGTAGAAATATGTTGACATTTTCTTCACTTTTCTTCTGTATATTAATAAAATATCTAGAAATACTTAAATTTTATAAAGTACTTTAATAAAGCCCTAGGGGGAAGTTAATTGCTAACTTCTTATTACATTATACTTAACCTGTATTTTTAAAATACAGCTTACAGATTAAAATCCATCAACCCTCAACATTTCCAAGTTAATGGTACTTTGTTAATGGAAACATCAATTTCTGTCCTGTGTGGTATAGGACAATGGTGTTCTGAAATGACTAGAACTTCGGAAAGATATAAACTTTTATATTTCATTACACTCCAGTTTTTATTTGTGTGCATATGCATATTAAAAGTAGATATCACTACAAGGGGAATCAGGACATCATAGAGAAGTAACTGATTCAGATCTGGAATTAGAAATATATACAGTGAGCCTGGATAAAGCATCTTGTCATATGAGAAGACAAGGTAAGTATTTGAAATGCAAGGTCACATTATAAGTACTCAGGAAGGAAATTCCCACTGGTCAAGGAGGAATATGAGCATTAAAAAGTGTAACAACTGTCGTGCTTTGAAACTGCAGTGGATTGATGGGAAGAATTATTGTTAATTTTTTTTAGTGCAATAAAAGTAATGAATTTTTTAAAAGATTGCTAAGTATATGCACCAAATATTATAAATGAAATAAAATATTTACAATGTATTTAAAAATAATCCAGAGGGCTGTGGATGTGGCTCAGTTATAGAGCACTTGCCTAGTATATGTGAGAGGCCCTAAGTTTAATCCCCAGCATTGTAAGAAATGAAAAATTAATAAAGAGTCTGGAGCAACTGGGCAGAGGTGGGGATGGAAGGGTAAGGACAGTGGGTTGAGCATTTATATGAAACAAGATCGGGCATATATTGATATGTGTGTGTAGTAACTTGGGCTCATTATGCTTCACTTTTGCTTACTTGAAATTTTCTATAATAAAAAGTATTTTGTTGTTTTTCTAAATACTGTTCAGAGTGTGTGGGGGGTATACGTTTAGTGGTGCAGCACTTGCCTACCATAAATAAGGGCCTTAATTTAACCCCACTACGACCAAAGAAAGAAAGAAATGACAAGAAAGAAATAAAAAAGAAAACCTATCTAGAAACCTTGGGACTGGACTATAATTGTAGTTATTCATTTCCAAGATAATAATTATCACTGTGGGACTCTTGTCCTTGTATCAGATCATTCTGGAATACGAGGTTATTTTTTCATACAGCTTGTCACTAACACTTATTCATTCTTTTTTTGTCTTTCTGTTCTCCTTTCAGCTCTCTCTTTCCAGATGTAGTCAACTGTATGCAGACCGATAACCTAGAACTAAAGAAGCTCGTGTATCTGTACTTGATGAACTACGCCAAGAGTCAGCCAGACATGGCCATCATGGCTGTCAACAGCTTTGTGAAGGTAGCTTTTCCCACACACTCAAGAGCAGACCCTTCTACCTCAAATACACTTTTCAAAAATGAGTTTTGGTGCAGTGTCTGCATGGCAAATCAGCAACCTTCATTCCAAAGGGAGGCCACTAGGAAAGAACTGGCAATGAGTCGAGTATTCATGTTTTAAGCCTTCAATATGCCAGCATGTGTCATTCAGAGAAGTTCAAACCATATGGTGAGCCTTCTGTTGCTAAGGCTTGGTGCATGCATACTTGCCAGATGGATAGAAGAGAGCCAGGTAAACCTCACTGTTTTAACCTTCTAAGGGTGACAAGTTGGGGTTATCACTGTAGTATTACTTACCTGAGGATTTACCTATTTTATCTCATAGAAGTTAAGCTGATGAGTCAGAAATAGTAGAAGCCATGGAGGTATTACATGTGTTGTAATAGATCTTACACCATTTGATTAAATTTTTTTTGGTACCGGGGATTGAACTCAGGATCTTGCACTTATGAGGCAGGCAGTGGAACCACTGAGCTAAATCCCAGCCCTGATTAAATTTTTTTATTATGGAAAATTTTAAACGTATTCAAATAGAGGGAATAGTATAATAAATTCCTATAATAAATTCCTAAATACCTATCTTGCAGTTTTAATTACAGACACATAGCCACTATTGTTCAATTTATACTCCCTAAATTACCTACCTACCTACCTTCCTTTCTCCCCCCCACCGCCTGTTTTTTTGTTTTGTTTTGTTTTGTTTTTTTAACTTGGGGTCTCACTGTGTAGTCCAAGCTGGCCTTGAGCTCACAGCAATCTTCCTGCCTCAGCCTCTTGAGTGTTGAGATTATAAGCATATGCCACTATGTCTGGCATCTATATATGCTTTTCTGATTCCCCTATCACCCCTAGATAATTGTTTTTATTTTTGGGTACCTGGGATCGAACTTGGGTCCTTTGTGCTTGCAAGGCAGGCAGCAGAACTGCTGAGCTAAATCCTGAGCCCCAACCCCTAGATAATTTTTAAGCAAATTCTAATGTTAGAGTAAGATCCTTTTTTTAAAATATGACCATAATACCATTGTCACATCTTTTAAAAAGTGATAAAACTTTGTTTAATGTGGTAGACTATCCAGTCAGATTTTTCCTAGCATTAGATTTTATAAGCATAATAATGAGGTTATTGCCATTTTAACTTGTTTAGTTTAAAAAAAAAAACTTTTAAAAATATCAGCATTTCTAAAATTAACTTCTACTTAAATTTTGAAAAGTAACCGCAATGCTGCTTCCTTTTCATAGATACTTTTCTCTTGTTTTTCTGTATTTGGAGTCAGAGAGAACATAACATTTCATTCTGTCTGCCTGGTGGTTTAGAGATGGACTGATATCATTGGGAATATTTTAGTTTATGTTTTTTAAAGGTTAAAGCTGTGCAAGGTGTGTATGGCAGACCCTGGTTTGAATTCTACAGGTTCTTTCCTCATTGTTTGTATAAAAACAGTTAAATAGCCAGGCATGGTCTGTAATACCATCAGTTGAGAGGCCGAGACAGGAGGATTGACTTGTGTTTGAGGCTAGCCTGGGCTATGAAGAGTTAAGATCAGCCTGAACTACACAGTGAGATCCTGTCTCAAAAAACAAACAAGATAAATAAATGCAAACAAATGCTTTCTTTTTAAACTCTTGAATAGACAAGACTGATGCTTAGGAAAGGAATAGCATAGGAAATTAATTTCTAAAGTAGAATATAACTGGAAACAATAAAATACTCTTTTGTAACATGTGAACTGGACTGTTTGCTTTTAATCACCTTATATACTTATAATTAATGATTGGTTTTTATAGGACTGTGAAGATCCCAATCCCTTGATTCGGGCCTTGGCAGTCAGAACCATGGGGTGTATCCGAGTGGACAAGATTACAGAATATCTCTGTGAGCCCCTTCGCAAGTGCTTGAAAGATGAAGATCCCTATGTTCGGAAAACAGCAGCCGTATGCGTGGCAAAACTCCATGATATCAATGCCCAAATGGTGGAAGATCAAGGATTTCTCGATTCTCTACGGGATCTCATAGCAGATTCAAATCCAATGACAAATGGTGGGATCAAGGATTTCTCGATTCTCTACGGGATCTCATAGCAGATTCAAATCCAATGGTAATAAGCATCTGTTTTTAAAAAGAACAATATTTAAAATAGGTCCCTTTTCAAGGCATGTGTAACACAAGCCTTGTCTTTGTACCTGGAGCCCCAGAATATTATTAAAAACATGACTTCTATGTATCCCACAATTGTATGTGTCACACTGTAGGTCAGTGATGGTTAACCTTTTAGAGCTTTCAGTGATACGGTCCACTGTGGCACACATGCCTATATTTGCCACCCCTGCCCTAGGTGTTTCTGGAAAAAGAACCAAGCACTAAAATAACAGGTCTTAAAGCAAACCTTTGTATTTTATCTTCTGCGTGTTTGTTTAGAAATAAACCAGCACTATAATAATTTTCTTCAGGACATTTTGCCTTAAACTTTTATAATACATTTTGTTTTTGGTACCAGGAATCAAACTCAGGGCCTCACTTTGCCAGGCAGGCACTGCACTGCTGAGCTACACCCCCAGCCTGTTATAATACACTTTTAAAGAACTCTGGGACAAGGGTTTTTTTATTTTTTTTAATTAGCTAACTTTATTATATTCTACATATTTAGCAGCCAGAACTTAACTCCTTGAAGTTGGGATTTTTTTTAACATTATTAACATTTTAAATTTGCTTGTGGAGTCAAGTCTCAAGTGATACATTGACTCTGCTAGGAACTGGATCTTATTTGAATTGACAGATTGAACACGTATGATTACTGAGCTGATGAAGGAATATCACCACTTTATAGCTCCTCTTTTAGCTGGGCAATGTTACACACCCCTAATTCTAGCTACTTGGGAAGGTGAGTTCATTAGTTTGAGTTCAGCGTAGGCAGCTTATTAAGACCCTGTCTCAATATAAAAAATAATAATTTTAATAATAATGTAATAATAAAAAGAGCTAGGAATGTACCTTAGTGATAGGCCACTGGCCTAGCATGTTTGAAACACTTGGTTCAATCACCAGTACTGTTAAAAAAGAAAGAGCTTCCTTTTGTCTGTGCAGCATTTATTTAAAGGCAAGTAACACTGAGTTAACCAGTGGGTAGCTAAATATTTTCTTGTTGAACTTTTTCAAATGCAGGGAGACTTGGAATTTGAACTAGATAACATCTCTCACTTGCGAATTAGCTGCTCATGTCCACTTTGATATCTTATTTGGTTCATCTTATTCTATGGGTAGCTTTGGCTTGTGTTTATTATGCTCCAGATAAGTAGTAAAGTCAAAGAATGAAGCAAGGTACAAATTTAAAGGTTCTTGTTACACTGACTACCATCAGGAATGTTTCAGCTACATTCTCAGCTTAGGGGTGGCTGCAGAAGTGCTTCCCTTAAGCCATGTCTTCCTATGGGGTGTCACTATCAGTATTTGATCAGACCTACTTTTTGTTCAACCCCTCTCCCCAGAAGCACCTTGTGGCACCCTTTTAAAAAGATTCCAGTGCTGGGGATTTGGCTCAGTGGTTCCAGCGCCTGCCTTGAAAGCACAAGACCCAAATTTGATCCCCAGTACCAAAAACAAAAAACAAAACAAAAGATTCCATAAAGAAATAAATTCATAAGGCAATAATATCTGTTATGAAATGTTTAACTGATATCAAGCTTTTTCTTACTGCTTTTAATTCACTGTTATTCTGAACAACTGTCTTTGAAATTCTTAACCTGGGGACAAATGTAGAGGGGAAGTGTTTGGTCTCTAACACCAAGCAGATAAGAAGAATGTCATGTACCCTGTGGAAACTTATTAACTATTCAGTGGTGCTAAGAATGAATTAAGGTGAAAGTGAATTCTAACTACTGCAGGCTGTTTCAGTTTGAGAGAGACAAGGCATCTCTACATCAGTGTAAATGCTTCATGCAGAACTGAGGGTTTAGCAGTACAGGCATTTTTTATTTTTTAAAACTCAAGTAGTACTTGCAGATCTTTATCCAGATTAGTTGAGAGAATACCAGGTTCCTAGGACGGGCCTAGTTTGTCCAATTTCTTGGTTTCTTTATAGAGGAAAGCACTAGTGTTCTTCCAGTTCATAGTATTCAAGCAACATGTGTGTGCCCTTTATTTATACTTTTTATTAAATGAATCTTCAAATGTATTTAAAGTTAGATGACTATAATACATAAATGAATTCACAGCTACAGGCAACTATATGCCCTACTTTTTTAACCTTCAAAAAAGTACTACAATTACAAAAAATAAAATGACTACAGTTTTGAACACAGAGGTCTTTACTGGATACTGTTTTATTATGAAATCATCTCAGTTTTCTTATTCTAATAATGGAAATGACTTATTTACTGCCATTGTGGAGTGATTTTGTTCCACTTTTCCACACGGTGGCAGCACTATGCCAACAAGTACCATGCAGGTATTGGTTTCTATTTAACGGGATATGAACGCTTCTAAAGGAGTTTTACCTTCATTGTTGTTTTTGTTTTGTTTTGTTTTTGGTACTAGAAATCAAACCCAGGGGTTCTCTGCTACTGAGCTACATCACCAGTCCTTTATATTTTTGATTTTGAGACAGTGTCTCACTAAGTTTCCCAGGCTGCCCTCAAAGTTGCAACCTTCCTGCCTCAGCTTCCTGTGTAGCTGGGATTATAGGCATGTACCATCATGCCCAGCTTTGTCTTAGTATTTTTGTAGCTTCTGAAGGCCATCTTAGATGTGAAAGCACCAGAACATCTGCAGAAATGACTCTGAATTCATTTTAATACAAAAGTAAAATGGTGATCAAGAGCTGACAGCTCCTAGGTTATGTATGGTGACCTCTACTTTGTTTCCTAGTGTCAGTGTCTCTTGCTGTAAGTAATAAAATTTATTTATATTGGTTTTTTTTTTTAGGAGTATCACCTTGATTTCCTGCAGTTGTTTTACAATTTATACTTTAGTTAAAGCTGACTTTCCAATTTCAGTATAATATTAGTTGACACGGAAAACGTGGAGTTTGAAACAAAATTCTCACTGTGTTAATTTATAGCTTTGTGTTTCTGTTGTTTAATCTTCCTGAGTCTGTTTCTACTTCTGGAAAATGAAGTTACTATCTTTGAGAGTTGTTGGGAATATTAATTGAGCTTTTGCATAAGAAATAGCTATTAAAAGGGCCAGGGATTTAGCTCAGTGGCACCGTGCCTGCCTCGCAAGTGCAAGGTCCTGAGTTCAGTCCCCATTACCTGTAAAAAAAGAAAGAAAGAAATAGCTACTAAAATTCCTGGCTCATGTTACTTTAAGATGATGACTCATACAGTGATAGCAGCTACTGTAGTTAGAGCATAGACATTAGGCAAAAGTTAATATCACTAGAACATTAATTTTTAAAAGTATTGATTCCTTTGATATCTATATAAACTCATATAGAACAGTCTGTTATGAGGGAATTAGAAGTAAGCTTACTTTCAGCTGTGGATTTTGTTAGTCCATTATTTTGAAAGTAAGTCTGTTTAGAATGAGGAAACAATTTGGAGGATAAAAATATGTGCACCATGTATGAATTTCTTGATGCTACCTCTGGCCAATTATTCTTTTGCTTTCACTTTGTTTTCAGGAGTATCAGACCCCCCCAAAAAAAGAAAAAATTGTAAGTTGGACAGAAAAAGCATAAATCTGTTTAGAGCATATGTAGCCTTATTATGGCTGGAAACCAATGCCCTCCAAACAATAATTTATTTAATAGCAGTAAATCACTGTACTAGAAAGTGATATTTCTTGGGTTCTGATGTCATTTTAAAAAAATAAAATTTGAGTGCAGGATAAAAATCATTCTAGTGTCCAGGGCCCTGTGAGGTTTTTCATAAAAAAGTTTCTATGATACTGCACTTCATTGTGTATCTAGATTTAGAGTAATTTTTTACAGGATCATTTTTATTCTAATCATACTTACTTTCCAGCTTGCTCATTTTAAAAAAATAAGATCAAATTTATGTCCTCAGAATCTCTGCATATGAACTAGATATATCTTATGAATCAGATTTTATAGCTTGATAATAAATCTCACCTAAGTACTGCAAGGATTTGATCCTCTCTGAAATATGTACTTTTCTCTTGTATAAATACGTTTTGAATATATTATCTCCTCCCACACACACACACACACACACACACACACACACACTAATAGCTTGCTTCTCTCCCTTTTTCCCAGTTGAAGTTCACAGGTCTTGGGACTTGTATAAAAGCTGAAAACAAGAATGATTAGTACATGATTAGATGCTGGAATCAAACATAAACCTTGAGTTCAAATTCAAGCAGTATCTCTTTCTGGCTGTATTGACCCTACTCATGTCACTGAACTTCTCTAACCTGTTTCCTCATCTCTAATAGGTGGATTTTAATAGCAATTACCTCAGAGTTTTTATAAAAATTAATAGTATGTACTAAGTAGCCAGTAAATTTTAGCTAGTATAATTTTTACATCTTTGTGCAGCTTGTGCTGTTTGGCATAAAATCAAAGTACAATTGCTTACCTTAAAAAAAATTCTGCATACCCTAAGGGTCAATAAGAAACTATTAAATAGAAGTCTATAATTAAGGCAGAGAAAGATTTATCTAGGATTCATTGTGGGTTTTTTTTAAATGTCTGGCTGTGCTTTTGTTGATGTATGTGTATCTAAAGTATTTCATATCTGCATCGATATTGCATTGGGTCTGTGGGGGATGAGGAATGGGCGCTGTTTAGTTGCCATCTCCGAAGTACAGAATTTACCATAATTAGAAGGCAAGATGAATAAAAGGGTAGGTTCTTTGTTTTGTTTTCAATAGAGTAATATTCCTTCATAACCTAGAGGCCAACTTTTTATAAATCAGTCCTTATACTGAGAAAAGTGAGAAAAACTCACTGAAACCCAATTTATAAATTCATTTTAAAGCAAATATTTCTTAAAAATTTACCCTTTTCTCTTAGAAACTCTATTTTTTCTGAAATTATAGCAATGTTTCCTTAAAAAATGACAGTTTCCCAGAGGGAGATGTACACCTGGTTGTCCTCACAGTTCCAAATCAAAGTGGTGCTTCAAACGAAAAAGGCAACCTTTATTTAATATTCAGGGACAGTAAGGCAGTCACTCTAAGAGTTGAGTGTGTTCTTTGTGATTTTTTTCAGCAAGTCTCATGCATGTAGTGTTATATTATTGTTTGGGAAAGGCTCTATAGGTAGAAAATTTTGTTTCAATCTATTATTTTTAAAGTTAATTTTTAAAAACAGGCAACATGGATACTTAGTTCCACAGAATCGTAGTGTGTGTTGACATGGGGTGATCCTGTGTGCCGTAGCCACCCAGTTGTGGTCTTGCAGTCAGTCCTTTTCTTCATCTACCTCAGATAGAGTATGTCTTATTGCAAGTTTCCATTAGCATGAGGGAAACACAGCTTACTGATTAGAAGGACACCAAGAGCTCCTCAAGGCCTGCCTCAGAATATTTGTGGAAACACAGCCATCTGAATGTGAAAATGAAGAAATGAAATTAGAGAGGTGGAACAGAAGGAACTCTTGGAGTTTTACAGGATCTGATGTTAGCACAGTAATGGGAGGGCCGTTCCTCCAGCGAGTTACTGAAATGGTGACTGGCAGTGATCTCCTCTCCCGCAGGCTTTTGCACAACATAATCCTTTCATCTGATCTTCGTACATCTTTTAATTAGACTGACTTTTCTCTATATCCTTTCTTGTTTTAATATGATAATTGGAAATTGCCTATTTAAACAGCAGAATTTATTCTTCATTAGCTGCATTATATGCTTGGTTTAATTTCTAATTGCCTGTGATGATAACAGAGACTTCTAATTGCTCCTTCTGTTTAGCATCCTTCTGTTTTCTTCCTGTCCTTTCCATTGATCTCCCTAAATCCCACTTGTTCTTCTGCATTTATTATCAAATCTCAACTTTTTTTTGTTTGATTTGTTTTTTTGAGACTGGGTCTCACTATGTAGTGAGACTTACCTGGAACTCACTATGTTGCCCAGGCTGGTCTCAAACTCACAGTGATCCTCCTGCCTCAGTCCCCTGAGTGCTGGGATTACAGGCGTGCACCACCATGCTCAGTTTATCAAATCTCAATTTTAAAAGGGGGATATTCTCAGCTGGGCCTGGTAGCACATGTCTGTAATCTCAGTGCCCCAGAAGCTAAGGCATGAGAATTGCCATGAGTTCAAGGCCAGCCTGGGCTACATAGTGGGTTCAGGGCCAGCCTGAACTATGTATAGCAAAACTCTTATCTCAAAAAGCTGGTGGTGGGGGTTTCACTTGCAGAAATGGTAATTGTAGTAGATTTATTTTAGACAACTGGTTACTGAGATTGGTCATGTCTTGGCAGCAGTAGATGGAGTAGAATTTTGTCTTCCAATTTTTTTTTTCTGGTACCAGGAATCGAACACAGGACCTTGTACTTGCCAGGCAGGCACATCACTGCTGAGCTACATTACCAGCCCAGTAGTCTTCTAGTATATTTTGATTTTTTTATAATAAAATATGGTTAATCAAGTATATTGTTCATGGGTAATAAAATATTTTTCCCTGCATTTGAAACACATGGAAGGGATTTTTATTTCACTCTATGCCTTTTAGTTTTCCATAAATCTTTGTGCTCGATGATGGAGTTAACAAACAAAATTGAGAAAAGGCATTCATATGTTATCCAGTAGATCTTAATTTGTCTTCATAAGATTTGTTTTTATTGTTGTTGTTGTTTTGGGGTTTTTTGTTTTGTTCCGTTTTTGGTACTGGATATGGAACTTGGGACCTTGTGCTTCTGAGACAGATGGCAGAACCACTAAGCTAAATCCCCAGCTTGTCTTCATAAGAATAAAATGTCTAGGATCATACTTAGCAAGTGAGGCTTTTGATTTTTCATCTTGGAATCTGTTCTGATCACTAAATGACAACTTGAGATGATCCTGTTTATGCCATTATTGCCCTCTACATAATAAGGAATATTGCTGTAAGTATATTATTTAGTACATTATATTTTCTAGCACTTATATCCTAGGTAAAATCATACACTAGAATAATCTGCAGTGTCTGAGTAATCTGGGTACTAAAACCAGTAGCTAAATTGTAACCATTATATTTCTTGTCTTGCTAACAAAAGGATAATTACAAAACTCAGCTTCTCAAGCTTTTAGCAAGCAACTTTAAAACTAACTATAGGTTCACATTTTTTAGTATCTTCTTAATGTACTTGCTGAAGCTATTATTTTCTATTACATTTTATTTATACTTAACAGGGTATATTTAGCCTCCTCTTGCTAATGTTTGGTAAAATGGGAGCCTTACTACAAAATATGTTTAAAATTCATTTGTACAGAGCTTCAGGATAATATTTTTGTGCATTTGTTTTGTAGTTTTTAAATAACTTCAAATGTTTATTGTTATAGACTTGTTATGTTAGAAATAGTCTGTAATTTTGATCTTTTTCTTATTATAGCTACATGGATTCCTAAGTGAGTCAGGATACATACATACTTTCTTGTCTAGGGGAGCAGGGTTTAATTCACCATACTCTTAATGAAGAATATATTTGAAATACTATATTTCATTGAGCCCACAATTCTTTTTATAAGATTCATGATTATTTTCTATATTGCTAGAAAAGAAAATTGATTCCTATTAAACTGCCAGGCTTTTAGTTGTAAAATGCGTCCAGGTTATAGAGATATCAGTGTAAATAACTATGCAACTTATATAATGAATTATGGTAATATAACCACCTTGACTTTTCATAATCCTTTGTCAGAAGCTTCTACATGCTGTCTGATTTTATTCTCACACTGAAACTAACCTATGATGTGGATTAAATTTTCCTGTCTTCTAGCTCCAACACTTTTGAGGAGGCTGAGGCAGGAGAACTGCAAATTCTAAGCTAGCCTGGCTACATAGTGAATTTAATGGCATAGCAAGAACCTGTCAAAAATTAAAACAAGAAAAATTATCCCTAGTTTTCAGATGAAGAAACTGAATATCACAGAGAATATATGTTTTCTTAGCATTGTATACTAGTGAACTAGAGTCTCAAGACTACATATTCTTACTCCAAGGCATGTGATATGATTGACAGTGTCATCACTTTATACATACACACCTGCACCTCTAGAAAAATATTTGGCCTACATTTTTCTCTCTGCTACCTTATGTATGTATTTCATATTCAAACTTCACTTGTTATGGCTATATGTATATCTTGATTTTATTGGTAGTTTTGAGTATTATTAAAATGGTTATTAAAATATATTTTAATAGTAAATTATATGTGACTGTTAATATTTTAATTCTCAGTTTCTTAGTCAGCTATATAAAGTATTGGTAGTGATTAATATATGTTTTGAAAGAATTTGTTTTTATCTGACTAGGTAAAATGTTCAGGAACAGTTATGAGCTGCGATCTATGAGTGATCCAGCAAAGGTTGATTGTTTGTCAGAGTTACACTGTGCTGGGTGCTTCAAGGTTGTATCTGTTTCTTTCTCAGGTGGTGGCTAATGCTGTAGCAGCATTGTCTGAAATTAGTGAGTCTCACCCAAACAGCAACTTACTTGATTTGAACCCACAGAACATTAATAAGCTGCTGACCGCTCTGAATGAGTGCACCGAATGGGGCCAGATTTTCATCCTGGACTGCTTGTCTAATTATAACCCTAAAGATGACCGGGAAGCTCAGAGGTCAGTTTGTTTTCTGGGACAGTATCTGATAATCTTGCCTGAGTCGGTAGGTGATAGTGTCTGCTCTTAGAAGATGAGTCTATCAGGTTGAGGAAGGTCAGTGACCTGTTGGGTCAACATCAGTATCCCCAGATATTTTCCCACTGGATTTAGAAACATAATAGAGTAAACCATCCCCCCCAGAAAAGCAGCTTCTAAGAAATGTATGTTTTTCATTTCTTGTTTGAACAGTGCAGTTACTTTTGCTTATATCTCCCTCATCACTGTTTCTCGTCTCCTAGTTCCTGGCCATTTGTGAAAAAGCTTATTGAATGTCTATGTAGGGACACATTTTTCATTGTGTCAGATACTTAGTAGCATCATGCTAGTCAGTGAACTGTGCTATACCTATAATTTAGTACTAGAAAAAGTATGTTAACAGCAAAATATTCACTGTTTCCCATGACATAGATAGCATGTCAGTGTCAGTTTGGAGCTTTTGGGAGGCATGCTCAGCCCTTTACCACTTCACTGTTGCAGATTTTCTTTGACTGTCAGAAATTGACTACTAAATTTCATCTACACATACATTTTCATTTACAAATTAGAGTTATCACAGTTTTTATTGAACATTTTGTGTAGATAAGCACTGTACTAGGCAAAGTACTTCTGAAGAAATGTTGGCTCTTCATTAAAGTTGACATATTTTAATTATGGTAGATAAGAACCTTCCTTGCCTGGCTGAAGCTGATTTCCAAGCTACTAGAATGTAAGTGCTTTTCACTTGTCTGGGAAATTATTCCCTCTGGACTTAACTAAAGCCCCTGATAGTTTCTTTCCATCATTTTTCAACATATTTTGAAACAAACTTTACGGAGAAGTTTATTTTCTGCTCGTCATTGACATTGTACTTAATCATTCATTCAGCAAATATTTATTAAGCCCATGCTGTATGCCAGGCACTTCTCAGCCCTGAAGATAAATATAATAGGACAGACAAAACTCATGGCCTCCATGGAGCACTTATTCTGAGGGATGTGTATATACTATAGTATATATAATATTTTCAGGTGGTGATGAGTGCTAACAAGAAAGATAAAGTAGGGGCAGGGATTTAGCTCAGTGGCACCGTGCCTGCCTCACAAGTGTAAGATCCTGAATTCAATCCCCAGTACCAAAAATAAAAAAATAAAAATATAAAATAAGGAAGAGATCTAACAAATGCTGGGCATTTGGGGTGAGGGGTTGTGGGGTTTTTTTGTTTTGTTTTTAGGGTTCTTTGGGGGTTTTTTTAGTAGTCAACAGAGGCATTGTTGACAAAGTGGTTATTTGTATGAAGCTCTAAAGGAGGTCAGGAGCCAGCCAAATACATATAGGAAGAAGGGAGAGTAACATAGGTCTACTTATATCCTTAATAGTAGTAAGCAAGCTCCTTAAATTGTCTAAAGAGCTATCAAAATAATTGCTGGACATTGCATAGATGATTCAGTACCCAAGATTTCACCATGATTTTAAGCATAGGTGGGAAGTACTAGGAGAAAGGGAAGAAGTTGAAAGAATATTGCAATGGTGTTCTGGTAGTTTCCAAAACAAACCCTTTTTGGAGCTTCCCTTACTATCCTAAAGATGGGGTTGGGTAGTTTGTTTTTTTTTTTTTTCCTGCCAACCCACCTCCTTCATCTTACTGTGAAACCTTAAATCACAAGTGGGTTGATAACTTTCACTATGAAATACCTCTTAGAATACTGAATTTGACTTTCTATAGGTTGAGTAGAAATGGGCTGTGAGGCAGGGAGCCCTAACATAATATGGGGAGACAAAGAGGACTATAAAACAAGAAGGTAAATGGTGTGAGCTCAAGTGTTGGGGTATTGATAATTTCCTTCCAGTTTGAACATCCCCTGTTGCTGGTTCCTAAAGTCTTCTGATATCCCTGCTCTGCCTGTATTTTGCTGGGAATGAGGCTTCTGTTGTGTTGGATCCCAATTTGACCTAAGCATGGAGCTTTGACTTTTCTCACTGATTCTTTAAATATCTTAATACTTGGGCCATGGGACTCTGAAATATTACCTTATAAAAGGGGATTGAGCACAGAAATTATGATAGAGGGGATATTAATTTTCCTTTTCTACCCTCAGCATCTGTGAGCGGGTAACTCCCCGGTTATCCCATGCCAACTCAGCAGTGGTGCTTTCAGCAGTAAAAGTCCTAATGAAATTTCTGGAATTGTTACCCAAGGATTCTGACTACTACAATATGCTGCTGAAGAAGTTAGCTCCTCCACTTGTTACTTTGCTATCTGGGGAACCAGAAGTACAGTATGTTGCCCTGAGGAACATCAACTTAATTGTCCAGAAAAGGTTGGGAAACAATTGGTGATTATGTTTTTTGAATTAAAGTTAATGTCAGTGTTCAGTTGGTCAGTATTACGTACTTTTTAAGGTATGGAAATGAATATGTTAAATAGCAGATCACCCTACCCAGAATCAGTAGGCCATCAGTAGATGTCAGTATGTTCCTATTATAAATGTCTGGTGGGCCAGGGATTTAGCTCAGTGATTCTGCAAGTGCAAGGACCTGAGTTCAATCCCCGGTACCAAAAAAAAAAAAAAAAAAAAAACATAAAATAAATGCTTGGTATTGCTCTACAGACAAGGTTGTTTTCTGAAGGGTCTTTTTCTGGTCTACTATCTAGAGCCTGCGCGATACCGTCAGGCAGATAGAATTAGATTTGTTGTTATTCCAGCAGCTTTTCATGGCAACATGTACACTGATTCTTAAACAAGATAAAAATAGTCTGCCAAATGGAACTGATAAGAACAGAGGGGCTGGAGGTGGCAGAGCTCAGTAGTAGAGCTTGCCCAGAATGTGAGGTTCTGAGTTTGATCCCTAGTGCCACACACCAAGAAAAAGTGTAGAGTAAGTTTGTGAGACTTTTTCTTAGGGGAAATGTACAGATTAGATTACTATTACAAACTCATAGGGACATAAATATAATCCTCACTGTTCTTGCTTGTGTTTCTGTATAACACAGGCCTGAAATCTTAAAGCAGGAAATAAAAGTCTTCTTTGTGAAGTACAATGATCCCATCTATGTTAAACTGGAGAAGTTGGACATCATGATTCGCCTGGCATCCCAAGCCAACATTGCTCAGGTCAGACTTTAAACAATCTCAAATTTGTGATGCTCTAGATCTTAAGGTCTGGCCTTAAGAAGAAGCTAGACCATAAGAGTGCTATTTGAGAATTCTTAATGGCTATCCACTTCCTGGATGTTTGACAGGTTCTGGCAGAACTAAAGGAATATGCTACTGAGGTAGATGTTGACTTTGTTCGCAAAGCTGTGAGGGCCATTGGACGATGTGCCATCAAGGTGGAGGTAAGTGTCCAGTGGCAGCTGAAATCATACATTATGAGATTCTGGATGTTCTCTTTATTCCTTTCTTTAAAATATAATTTTTGCATTTATCAAAATAATAAAAAATATAGTTAATAGATTATAAAGTTTTCAATGAAAAGCAGGTGTTCCTGGTCTATCCTTTTTCTACCTATCACCTCTTCCTAGAGAGATTAATTTTTGACTCTTAAGTTTTGTTTTGATTATTTTTTTGAAACTTATATTATCTCTTAAAAACATGCTATTATTTGATGATTTACCAGTTACAGATTGTCTTTTAACTTTCTGCTATAAAATAAGAGCTGAGTTCAAATATTTCACCATTCCTGCTTCTCCTATTTTCTAGGATAGTTATATCATGAGGTTTCTGTAAATTAAGATAAGATGCCTTTATTTTTTGTTCTTCCTAATACAAGTTTATGAAACTTATGCATGTTATGTAAGTATGTTGGATAAATACAATACAAATGATTGCATCTTCTTATATATACTTGTGTCTTTTCTGGAGTTTTTTTTCCTGGAGTTTCTTAAATTGCCTCTATTTTTTTCTTTGCATGTTTATCTTAATTACACCCCTATCTTCTTCCAGCTTCTCAAGTATAGTATCAAATCTGTAAACCACCTGTTGTCCTACACACCCTTTTCTCTTCCAGTCTTGTTTGTTCTAATCTGGCTGGTTGTTTTCTTGGCCTTTGTACATTATTCCATACAGCCTCTCTTTATTGCTTCTGCTTATTATTGCTATTTTTTTTCAGTGTGTGTGTGAAGCAATAGCTTCTTGAATCTCTGAAGAAAGGAATTATGATTTTTTTGTTTTATTTCTACATCTTGAATATCATTTTTCAGGGTTATTTATGGTATGAATTATATATCTCTATATATAATTTTTAAAAATTGAGATGTTACCATGAATGAAGTTCATCCTAGTTAAGAATGAAGTAATAGGGGCTGGGGATTTAGCTCAGTGGTTCTGCCGCCTGCCTCACAAGAACAAGGACCCAAGTTTGATCCCCGGTACCAAAGAATGAAGTAATAGGGTTGGGAATTTAGCTCAGAGGTGCCACCACCTGCCTCACATACATAATGTCCCTAGTTCAATCCCCAGTACAAAGAAAAGAATAAAGTAATATAAAAGTGCTTAGGACGTCCCTGTACATAGGCAGAGCTATGGACTAGCAAGTTTCTGCTTCAGGGCAGAAAGTCTACTTGGAAGGTCTCTTAAAAAACCCTGTGGTTTGAGAGCATGAATTGGTTTCTGGCTTGGCTGAACTATTCCAGTAGCTATTATGGGCTATAATTTATATTGCCCTGTTTCATCAGTCACCAATCCTCCACCTGTTTTCCTTATTCAGAAATTTGTTATAATTTATGACAGCCTCTGTTCACTGTTACGGTCTTCAAAGCCCCATACTTATTCTTGGCTACTTGATGACAGGCAGTTCTGCTTAGAGTCAGAGGACTGGACTATATGACATCTCAAGGATACTAAAAAAATTGTACAATATGATCAGTACTTTGTGGAACAGAAGACCAGGCTATATCAGAAGTTTCTATGAAATTCGAGTTCTTCATTGGCCTTGTTATGCAGTAGTGCTTCATGTATTTACCATTAATAAATCATCTAGTAGACTAGTTGTTACAGCAAGAAGTTAATTAGTCCTGGTTTCAACTCCCATTTCTACTATTTCAGTTACTTCGGATATTTAATACAGTTCTGTAGCTTTGTTTGAGAAATTGAAAAACCTGTTTATTGAGTCTTGCTACATTATATCTTTTTATTACCACACTTAATATACTTTATATTTCTTTTTCCAGTATCTTACAATTGTCCTAATACACAATTGTCTTAATATCATACAGTTGTCTTAATTTACAGAGAGATTTTGGTAGCCTAAGAGTGAAGTTGCTTTTGCTTTTCATTGTATACATAACCATTTCTTTTACCAGACTATCATTGTGTTGACTTCTCTGAAAAAGATTTAAGGAGTAATAACAAAATCTGTAATACATTCCCTAGTTTAAAGAAATTTTCTAGGCCTGGAATTACTAGAAAATGTTCTCAAAGCATCCAGGTTTCTAGAGGCTGATGGTGCGATGAGTTGTAGCTAATAGAAAGGTTCTCTGTTGTTTTCTGGAAAAGACAAGCTTCTGATGGCTTTTCTTCTTTTAATGGTCCTTATGGGAGTATGAGAGAAGTTTGTGGGAATAAACTTTCTCAGGAAACTTAAGAATTCTGACTTTCTTATCTGGATTTACTTTGGAACTCAGTTAGAGTTGTTTCAAATGAAAGTTAACAGTTTGAAAGAGCTGCCTCACCCTAACACAATTACTGGATCAGAAGGGTCAATGATTATCTTTCTGTAATTAACTCATCCATGGGACAAGGATAAGCACTCACAAAGAATTCTAGTGAGCATTCTGTATAGCTTTAAACTGATCTGCTGCTTTCTTTCATTGAATCTTTCCTTTATAAATGTGCAGCCAGTTTTAAAACTATGACAAATGAACTGGGCATGGTGACATACGCCTGTAATCCCAGCACTTGGGAGGCTGAGGTAGGAGGATTGCTGTGAGTTCGAGACCAGCCTGGGCTACATAGTGAGTTCCAGGTCAGCCTCAACCACATAGTGAGACCCTGTCTCATAATTTAAACAAAAAACTATGACAAATGAGAGAATACAATTTTTAGTTTAAGGCTTAGCTAAGAGAATAGGGCCTATTGGAAAGTTCAGATGGCTTTAAAAGTTATTATAATTGTTAATACAGGTATTTCTTTTTTTCTTTGGGTTGTTTTTTTTTTTTTGGTACCAGGGTCTTTGTGCTTCCAAGGCAAGTGGCAGAACCACTGAGCTAAATCCCCCGCCCTAAATAGGTATTTCTATGTTGCTATAAAGTATCATGAGGTAAGAAAAAAAGTATAATTTTGTTGTATTAAGTTAGTTAGGTTAATTATTAAGCCATAATTATTAAGCCCTGGAAAAGCAACTCCATTCTTTTTTTTTTTTCAGTAATTTCTGTTTCTTTGAGGAAGACATAAACTCTTGGCCCTTTTTTTGTTTTCCAAGTGAAATGAATTAATTTTATTTGCTTGAGATAGATTAAGGCACTAAGACCAGAATTCTGTTCTTCACTTCCTAGTATTCTGTTCTTTAAATATTTACCATTGGGCCAGGGATGTAGCTCAGTGGTTCCACCATTTGCCTTGCAAGCACAAGGGCCCAAGTTCGATCCCCAGTACCAAAAAAATACCCAAAAACTAAATATTTACCATTTTCCATTTTTATCAATCAGAATAAGATACTGATATGTCTTGAGGTCCCTTAAGCAAAAAACATTTTCCTGTTAAGAAATCAGTATGTATTCACTACATAAAATCATAAAATAAATTAAACAAATCTAGAATACTCTGCTCTCTCTATACCCTTTACCCTCCCAGTAGACATGATCTGCTAGGTATAATTTTTTAAATCTTGTTTATGTATTTTTCATACACAAGTATAATTTTTAACAAAAAACTAAATCACATTATGAATGCTGTTTATTTACTGTTGTAGTCTGCTCTTGTAGGCTTTTTTTTTTTTTTTTTGGTACAAGGATCTAACTCAGGACCTTGTGTTTTAAGGCACGCATGCTACCATTCAACTAAATCCCCAGCCCTAAGTGTGCTTTTCTAAAACATACTGTATCATATATCTTAAAAATCGTTCCATGTTATTAATAAAACTTTATATCACTTACAGTTTCTGGTTTCATTTATGGACATCATGTGTGTTTGCTTCACAATTTAGCCTTTTCTTTAATGGCCCTTATTGGGAGTATGAGAGTATATGGGAATAAACCTCAACTCTTTTTTCAAATAGGATAATAAGTAGTATTTTTGTCTTGTCGCCAAATCTTTGAACTCTAGTTGTGGTGGGGCATTGGGGAACTGCTTGTTAATGTTTTCAGTATGTATTTTCCATTTTGGGTTTTTGGTAATGCAATATATTAACCTTTCTTCTAGCTAACATTACTTTTCCCAGTTTGTTTTCCTTGATGTACGGGAAGTTTATATTATGTAGCGAATACAATTTGGTTTTCTTTCTTAGTGACACACCCAGAAAGTTGTGCTTCACCTCAAATTATATAAAATTCATTTTTATTCTCTACTTCTATGTCGCTGATTTTGTTACTTTTAAACATTGTTAATTGGGAAATAATTTTGGTGAAAGATTTCAGTTGGGTAGATCAAACACCTAAACAACACCCTTTGCTTACTGTTATGAAATTTTGTCTTTATCATACACTAATTACATATGTATATGTTTCTGGACTTCTAAGATAACAGCAATAGGATGTTTACTCTTACTGCTCTGACATATTACTTTTAATTTTTTGTTTTTTGAGACAGGGTCTCTCTATGTAGTTGAGACTGACCTGGAACTCACTATGTAGCCCAGGCTGGTCTTGAACTCACAGTGATTTTCCTGCCTCAACCTCCCGAGTGCTGGGATTACAGGCGTGTGCCACCACGCCTGTCTACTTTTAATATTTTTTTAAAAAATATTATTGTAATGATAATTTGCTAGAGGATTAGTATTCTAGACATCAGTGTTTTTAAATGTTGATACATCACAAGAAACAGCCTTTAGTTTGTCTCTACTACAATAATGACTCAAGGATTCATTTAAATACCAGGTTTACATCAAGCCCTGTGTTTACCACTTACCTGTTTTACCTAGTTTATGATACTTCAGTTGTTACAGCAAGCCATATCCTGCATACTTTATGATTTATCATAACATAGTTTCTGTTTTACTGTTACGATAACTTAGCACAGGAGTTACCAGCTGAAAATGAATGATGTAGAGCAAGTAAACAGAATCAGAAAAGGAACATTAAAAGATTGCTGAATCATTTCATGGTGCAATCACATCATTGTATGTCCTCATACAAATAATGTAAAGATGAAATTTTGAAGTAATTAGCATGCTTAAAAGATGTTATTAAGGACATTTTTTTGTTCCTGGTTTATCTCTTCCCTCTTTCTCCCTCAGGCCCATGGGATACTGTTGTTTTTTCAATGTAAGTCCCACATAATGTCTCAGTGGAGTAGTCTTGTGGGTATATCTGACAGATAAAGTTTTTGTTTGTTTTTTTTATTGCCACAGTACCATTACCATATTCAGTAACTGGCAGTAATTCTTAATCTTACTGAATACCTAGTTCATATTTAATTTCCTCTAATTGGTATCACAATTTCTTTACAGTCAGCTTATTCAACTCAAAATCTAAACAAGTTCCACACATTGCACTTTGTTAATATATCTCTTAAGTCTTTTTGCTCACTTAAAGAGTTGCTTCTGGAATTTCCCAGAGACTCAGTTTGGCTTGTTATATTTTAATGATGCTATTTATCTCATTCTGTCCCCTTTATTTTATTTTCATTCTGTCCCCTTTAAATAATTAAATCTAAAGCCTTGATAATATTTATGTTAAAAGTTTTGGGCAAGAAGCTGGACATGGTAGTACACACCTGTAATCTTAGTACTCAGGAAGCTGAGGCAGGAGGGTTGTTATGAGTTTAAGGCTAGCCTGGGGTACATAATGAATTCAGGGCCAGCCTGTACTATATAGTGAGACCTTGTGTCCAAAAATAAAAAGTTTTGGGCAAAAATACTTTTAGATAATTTTGTGTACTTCCTGTTGCATCTTATCAGGAAACATATAATGTGGTGACTAATAATAGATCATTGTAATATATAACAGATTAGTTTTTTATTTTTTTAGGATCTATTTTGGAATTTTCTTTTCAAAAGCTACTGCATATTGTTTCAATGTATTTGGTTTTTGTCCATTTATATTCTGCCGTATTCTCTCTATTAATAAAAGATTAATAGATTAAGTTCCCTTTTATAGATAAATTATAGGAAGGGGCCGGGGATTTAGCTCAGTGGTTCGGTGGCCTGCCTTGCAAGTGCAAGGACCCGAGTTCAATCCCCAGTACCCCCAAAAAATAAATTTTAGGCTAAGAAAATATACTTTATCGAAGGCCATAGACTTTGCATAGTCCTAAGACGATAGATTAACTAGTAGTTCTTAGAGTAGTGTGGATCCCAAATACCTTTGAAAATAAAATGAAAACTGTGAAGCTTGCTCCTGGAAGATACGGTTGGGTGCTCATGTAAAATTTGGCAATTCATTTTGGGAGTTTTAAAGACACCGTGTGCTGCCTCTGCTTATCCAGGAATTTCAGTTAATGACCTTTTGCTTTGGCTTATTCTTTAATCTTTATTCTTTCTTCCTATCCTGGCTTACTCTTTCTTATTTTCACCTCCCACTTATCCCAAAAGACTTTTTAATTTGAAGTGACTCATATATCAGTATATTTTTTAATGAGTAAAATTTGGAATGTATCCAGAACTTCTGATGTAGATGACCCAGCCTCTGGTATAGCTTGATCAAATTTAGTGCTTGGAGGCTTAGTTGCTACAGTACCTGTACATTTCATTGTTTTATATTGAGATAGTATTATGGAGTGAATCATCTAACTTCTCATTTTGTATGTTCCTATTCCTAGCAATCTGCAGAGCGCTGTGTAAGCACATTGCTTGACCTAATCCAGACCAAAGTAAATTATGTGGTCCAAGAGGCAATTGTTGTCATCAGGGATATCTTCCGCAAGTACCCCAACAAGTATGTCCTAACTCTTCTAATCCTCTTCTACAAATCATTTAGGAAATGTTTTAAGTAAGATGCTTTGAGAATGGATAGGTAAGAACTATTCTTTTTAGAATACTTTATTAAAAATCAGAGATATATGAAGTAGTTAGCACAGGGGCTAAAACCTGATTTTCCCCTCTGTTTTATTATTTTTAGAAATAAAGCCTTGCCTAAATATGTGTGTCTTTTGGCGTAAAGTTGACATATTAGATTATTTGGTGGCAAAGTTACCATTAAATAGGAAACGTAGTTCAAATTGTCTGAGCATGCTCTCATTTCATGTCTATTGTGTAGACATAACTAATGATTATGCAATTTATCCTCTCAGAAATGTCACAGTTTGAATGATAAATAATATGGCCACCTTACCATGAAAGCTAGGAAGGTAATAGCTATGACTTCATGTTGCATGTGACCTGCCACTTTGTGGAAATTTATACCTGATGTAACAATAATTACCAGGCCTAAGTCTTTTCTGAAGAGTTGTAGTGGCTCCTGTACAGATATACAAAAGCTGCATTTTCACTTCTTAGGTTTTTTCAGATTGAAGCTTCTTGGTTTATAAAGTAAAAAATGCTTTAGGTGTGATTTGCATTTCAAAAATCTGAGTGGAATAAGAGCAGGTCTTTTGAATATCCTAAATCTCATTCTGCATTATAGTCATAGAGTTATCTTGTGCTGAAGTTTCTGGATAGTCTTAAAGACAGTGTTCAATGACCTGGCTCCTGTGGCCCACACTTTAATCTCAATACTCTGAGAGGTTGAATTAGAAGTACAAGTTTGAGCCCAGCCTAGAAAACTTAGCAACTTAGTGGGACCCTGTCTCAAAATAAAAACGGTTGAGGATATAGTTCAGGTTAAGGCCCTGGGTTCTGTTGTCAGTACCAGGGCAGGGTGGAGGTGGGGATAAAAATATTTTGTTGAAAAATCATTATTAAACATTTTTATATATGTATAGATTTTTTAAATTTTAGAAATGGTATTTTTGGAAAGAGGACCATAAACTTTTTCATTGTCCTAGAAAAGAGGAAGGTCAGGTTTCTAAACTTTTGGATTAAGGGTGGAAATGTGTATCTCAATATGACTGATAAAGAAATGTGACTGATTTGTGTTAAGGGGTTTTGATAGCAATCAAGAGCTTCTTTTAATCAGGAAGTAGGTCAGACAAGTGTAGTATTCAACTGCCCAAATCTAATTTATTGTTCACTATCATTATACTAGCCAAGGAGATGGACTCAGCATGGTGAAAATATAAGGGATCTTAGATCTGTAAAAGTAAAAATTAAGTATTTGCAGCACATATTTCCTTGGAGAAACAAGTCATTAGTGTTTGTTTCTTGAGGAGAACATACAGATCTCTTTTATAAAAAAGAAAAATAGGTAGAACAAGAAACAAAGTAACTGTTTCTGATTTGAGCACTGTTGTTTTCCAGCTACATTTTCCTAAAAATTAAGTGGGGTTTTAGTTCCCTTTTACCATGAATGCAAAATGGCATGATGTGAGAATTCCCTGCTCTAGTTATAAGAAAGATTGTTAAACACAAGACAGATGCTGATGTTATACCACAGATTGATTTTTTTTTCCTTGTGAGAAGGATAACTAATGGATTTTTATTAAAGTTTAATGTCATTATTAAACTGTAACTGAGGAGAAATTTAAAACATTTATAATATCCTGACTTAAAGCCCGTACATTCTCTTGAGTAAAAGCCTTTATAATTCAGTGGTTTACTCTAGGGTCCCTTGAACATGATTTTGCCTTTAGTCTTTACTGTTAAATGCAGTTCTTAGTTTTGTCTTCTGTAGCCATAGTCCTTCTTATTGTTTTCAGGTATGAAAGTATTATTGCCACTCTCTGTGAGAATTTAGATTCACTGGATGAGCCAGATGCACGAGCAGCCATGATTTGGATCGTGGGAGAATATGCTGAAAGAATCGACAATGCAGATGAGTTACTAGAGAGCTTCTTGGAGGGCTTTCATGACGAAAGTACCCAAGTAAGTTCTCATCTGTCTTATGTTCTACATCTCTTTGGGAAGATACCAGAAAAAACAAAAGGCAGTTTCTTTGTGCATGTACATTATTTGTTCATTTTCTCCCAAGATTTTTTTTTCTAGTATGACAAAGCTGTATAACTGAGACCACTTTAATGAGCATTAGAAGCACCCAGAGGGCATATTAAAGCATATGTTGCTGGATCTCACCTTCTGAAATCTGAGTCAGTAGGTCTGAGATGAGTATTTCTTACAGGATTTAGGTGGCTGCTACTGCTGCTGCTATTCCTTCTCCTCACTTTATTGGCCACTGGTTTAGAACAGTAATCCCCTTTTTATTTTCTGTAACTAGGATGGTTACATAGTCTTGTTAGTAATCACTGTGGCTCATTATGTACGGGATTTTCATGTGCTGCTATGGTGAAGTTTGGAAAGCTTCTCTTACGAATGATTAGAGTTCTTCTTGTTCCTCTTCTGTAATAAAAATTAGAGCCATCGGACCACAGAAACAGTTAATAAGCCCTTTCCCCATGGTATTTGTGCTTACAGCAAACAGAAGTTTATGTATCTAATTCATAATAGTAATCTCAATAGGCTTAATACAGGAAACACATACAAGATAGTAGATTGTGATTCAGCAGTCCACTTCTCATTGGCTGTGGTCTGATATAACTAACTGTGTAATCATGGTTCTTGCTCCAGCAATGATTCCATAATTTCTCCAAAACATGTAGCTTTGTGATCACTTCGGCAGCACATATACAAACATGTAGCTTTACTTTGCTTTTTCTATATTTTTGTTTGCTTGTTTTTTGTTTTTTGGGGAAGGCTAGTGTTGAACTCAAAGCAATTTTCCTCATTCTCCTGTGTGCTGGGATCATAAGTATCTGCCACCATTCCTGGACAATCTTGTAGCTTTTCATAGAGTAAATAAGAGAATTGGTCAGGAACCAATTTTATCACTGTCAGTATGTTAAGAGTTACTTTAAATATTATAGGTGATAATCTGTCTAAAAAACAAGCCACTTTTGATTCCAGAAATGCAATTAGGGGACACGGGGCTAGTAAGTTTTTACTTGAATAACTTTGTATTTCAGAATGCCATTGGCTACCATTGTTGATATTGGCTGAGTTTTAACCTTTTGTCTCTTAACCAAAATCAGAAAGGCCCCACAGTAATTTATAGGTAGGAGAACACCATTTTGGAGATGATGCCAGGGAATAATATAAATGCCTTTCTTTCATTTTATCAAATTTGTCTGTTTAGGTTCAGCTCACTCTGCTTACTGCCATAGTGAAGCTGTTTCTCAAGAAACCATCAGAAACACAGGAGTTGGTCCAGCAGGTCTTGAGTTTGGCAACACAGGTAAGAAAAAGTGAGAAGTTTATTTGTCTTATTCTCAATTGTAGCACAGGGTCTTGCTATATAATTCAAGCTGGTCTGGATCCTCCTACATCAGCCTACTGAGATGTTTTGGGATTAGAGATGTGCATTACCACACTCAATATTTTTCATTCATTCATTCATTATTTTACTAGGAATTGAACTCAGGGCTTTCATACATAGCTATATCCCCATTTTTATATTTTTTAATTTGAGACAGGGTCTCTCTAAGTTGATCTGGCTGTGATTGAACTTGCAGTCCCCTGGCCTTGGCCTCCCAGAGTACTAGGATTACACGTCTATCACCATATGTCTTCTTTTTGGGGGTGATTAGAAAGATTTATTTTGGCTCATTGTTTTGGGAGGTCACAGCCCACGGTCAGCTAGTTCTGTTGCTTTTAAGCCTGTGCAAAGCAGAAACATATTCTTGTGGTAGAGGATAGGGAGGTTTTAATTGAAAGAAAAATAGTCTTTGGGTCCTTTAAACATTGCCACTTGACATATTCCAAATAGTAGCTGGTTGATACAGCTTTCCAATAGCTGGCTGACTCCAGTTTTCATGGTAATTCATAAAGTTTGAAGTTAGATTCTATAATGTTAGTGATAGATAAACTTTTGTGATAATAACATTCTTTCTTGAATTTTTAGGTATTTTTGGCCCTCTTTGGAATTATTTGGTATTTTTGTTCAGAAGAAAAAGATTCAGATGAATTCTCATTTCAGGAATGTGGGCACTGACCTAAAAGATCAGGTCACCATTTTAGAATGACAGCAGTTAAAATAATTACTTTTTCTAATGTAAATGTGCACAGTGATCATTGTCCTTACTGATTTACTGTTGTTCTTAATTGAATTAGAGAACAGGCTCACTTTAATGGGTGTCAGAGTAAAGTTGCATATTTGCGCATGGATTCTGATTCAGAACTCACGTTATCATTTTTCTCTTTTTTATCTCTTCAGTGGTATACTATCAAAATTCAAAACCCTTTTTCAGTGCTTTGCCTAATTCTAAACTGTCATTTTTAAATGGTTTTATCTCTAAGATTTATTTGTAAGAGCTCTTTGAAATATTTTATCTGTATTGAATTAAACATTCTAGACATCTGTGTTTAGACTGTTGTTGGATAACTTGTGGGTTATTTGTATCTTTGTTACGATAAATTCAAAATAATGTATTTTTCTTTTTCTTGCACTCCTGTTTTAATTTCAAACTTAAATAGTCATATAGAATGACTGGACTGAAGCACCTCACATACTGCCAAATCAGTTTTGAAAAGAATTTGGTCTGTTCCCTCTCCGCACATCTGTAAATAATCAAGAAAATGTTTTTGGTTATATTTTTCAGATGTTCTTAATTCTATCTCCATCTTCTCTGAATATTAAGGCCTCTGTGTTTATATTTATTTAATAGGCAGCATAGAAGAGCTACATTTTTATTTCTTTCAGAGTTCAAACTCAATCTCATTACACATGAGTATTTATAAAAAGCTGACTAAGATAAAATGTTTAGGCAAGATTGCTTAAAGAATAGGTTGACATGCTGTTTATATGGATAGTTTAAATTAATAGAGAGCTGGGTGCCTAGATTGCATTGCATTTTGACCCCTTTCAGAATGGCTTTTACTGAATTATATTGGTACTACAAGCCTGTAGTAAAGGTTATTATAAGAAACTTTTTTAAAAAAATCAAAATCCAAAGGGATCGGGGATTTAGCTCAGAGGTTCTGCCACCTGCCTAGCAAGTGCAAGGACCCAAGTTTGATCCCTGGCACCAAAAAAAAAAAAAAAAATCTATCAAAAACATTAAAATCCTGCTGGGGGAGGTAGCTCAGTAGTGGAGCACTTGCCTGGCACATATGAGGTCTTTCATATATATGAGGTTCAGTCTCCCATAGCACCAAAAAAAAAAAAAAAGTCCTAATTTATTCCATTTTGTGTTCTTCTTTATAATGTCCTGTCAAATTCCTGTCAACTTTTGGATTTTCCTGTGCACTGGTGTGTAATTCATTGCCTCCTTAGTGGCTTAAACCTTCACAACTTCCTAATTCTAGAATTTACTGCTGAGACTAGTATAACATCTTATTAGTACTAATTTTGATGGGGGGAGTGGCACCAGGGATTGAACTCAGGACCTTGCACTTGTGAGACAGCTAAATCCCCAGCCCACTATAGTAATGTTGCTCTTGCTATTAAGCACTTTCCTTATCTTTTTTCTTTTTCTCTCTCTTTCTTTTCTTTTCTTTTCTTCCTTTCCATTTCATTCATTCATTCATATTCTTCCCTTTCTCCCTCTTTCCCTCCCTTCTTTCCTTAGGGCCTTAAGCATGATAAGCAAGCACTCTTATCACTGGTTACATCCTCCTGTTAGAGTTTGCTTTCTTGATTTGATTTGGGGGTCAGGGGGGTTCATGGTGATTATTTTGAGACACCGTCTTGCTGTATAGTGCAGGCTGGCCTTGAACTCATTATATAGTCTAGGCTGGCCTCAGAATCTCAATCCTGTTAGCCTGAACTCACTGTGTATGCCAGGCTGGTCTCACACTCACAGTGATCCTCCTGCCTCAGCCTTCCGAGGGCTGGGATTACAGGCATGCACCACCACGCCCGCTAGAGTTTCTATTTTGGTTCCTTTAAAAAATTCCAACTTATTTATGCTTTATAAAGTTCAAGCTTTGTTTCCAAATGAATGTCTAAATGAGGTTGTTTCAGGTTGCTATTTATAAAATCTTCCAGAAGAGCAAATTATCTCCTAAACACCCCCATTTGATAAAAGCAACCAACTTATGTATGATTTATCAGTCTGCTTTTTTTTTAATCCCAATGCTTCAACTGCTAGACATATTTTGTTATGGCCTACATATATTTTTATGTATATATAAGCACTTCTATTAAAATAATGCAACCTGTGAATATGATAGAGTATCTTGAGATAAAATTTAACTATTTTAATATTTTATTAATGCATCATATTTTTATGCTTTTTTCTTTAATAAATAATCATTATGAGTACAAATTAAATAAGAAGATGTGGTTTTTCTATACAATGGAATACTACTCAGCCATAAAGAATGAGAAATTAGAATCATTCATAGGAAAATGGATACATTTTGAGGATATACTCCTAAGTGAAATAAATAAGTCACATATGTGTAAATACCGAATAGTTTCTCTGGTGTGAAAAACTATAATAGTACTCAAGATCCTAATGGGATAATTAACAATGTGAAATAGGAAGAAAAGGGCTAAAGGTGTAGGGAAAGTGGGAAGGGTAGGGGAAGGGAAAAGAAAAAAAATGTGAGAAAATGAAAAAATGGAATTAAAGTGTTTATAAATGGGGAGGGGAGGAGGCGATGAAGGGAGGGTAGGGACAAAGGGAAAAATGAGAACCAAGACCTGTCATGTAAAGGTACAAGATCCCAATAATGAATGTAACTGTACTGTATACCTAAAATGTACCAATAAACTCAGTTACAAAAAAATAAAATAAAATGGGGCCAGGGATTTAGCTCAGTGGTTCTGCCGCCTGCCTCACAAGCATAAGGACCCAAGTTCAATCCCCGGTACCAAAAAAAAAAATAAATAAATAAATAAATAAAATAAGTGCGAGAAATTTTCTAAAACTATGTGGTAGAAACCATCAAGACATCTTTTGGCTCTTTGAACACCATGAAAGTTGGCAAGAACAAGTGTCTTACACCATGCAGGGAAAAGGGAGTCCAAAAAATTCAGTTGATCCATTTTCTGAGAAAGGGTGGTGTCATGTGGAAGCAGCTCCTCTGTTTAATATAAGAAATACTGGAAAAACACTAGTCATGAAACTCAAGGAACCAAAGTTGCAATTGATGGCCTCAAGAGTCTTGTATTTGAAGTGAGCCTTGTTGATCTGCAAGGTAAAAGTTGCATCTAGAAAATTCAAGCTAATTATTGAGGCTGTTTAGGGTAAAACTACCTAACTTCCATGGGTCTTAATTGTGATAAAATACATTACATGGTCAAAAACTGGCAGACAAAGATTGAACCTCATATTGGTGGCACAGCTACTGATGGTGATTTTCTTTGTCCTCTGCCAATTTTATTTTACTTAAAAAAAAACTGCAACAATGAGAAACAGAATACTTCTTACACTCAGCACCAACAAGTGCACCAAATCTAGAAGGTGGCAGAAATCATAACTCAACAGGTATAGACAGATAACTCAAAAGGAAAGGACACTAAACCAATTCTAGACAGCATTGGAAAAGACATCAAAAAGATTTGTCAGTCTGTTTACCCTCTTCATGATGTCTTTGTTTGAAAACGAGAAAATGCTGAAGAAGCCCAAGTTGATATTGTGAAAACTCACAGAGCTTCATGGTAAAGATAGTAATTCTGGATAGCTGCTGGGGATGAGATAGTACTAAAGTCAAATGAGCTGATGGATATGAGCCACCAGCCTAGGTATCTGTTTAAATTTCAGACCTTTAACGGTGGCTCAACTCTGTGATGAGGGAAAAAAACATACACAGGGTAACTGCTAATATTTAGTTGAATGATATGTGTCTTAAGTGGCTACATTTTGAACCAGTTCACTTGCTCACTTAGAAATTCATATGGAAGGCCTAAAATTGGCCTTTGTAGCCAGAGCCAATTTTGAGACAATGTCTTACTAATTTTCCCAGGCTAGGCTTGAGATTGTGATCCTCCAGCCTCAGCCTTCCGGAGGGCAGGGATCACAAGTGCGCCACCATGCCCAGCTTCAAATTGGCTTTTTTTAATGAAAAGTGTATGTGTGCATGAGAGAGGAAGAAAGGGAGGGGGGAAGCAGGAAAGTGGGGGAGAGAGATAGGAGAGAGTTTTTAAATGCAGAAATTGAAATAGAGATTTAATATTGCCTTTAATAACATACTATTTTAACAACTCATGTGTAAATAAATGCTGGCATGTAGATATACTCTTTCAAGGCAGATGCCAGAGTATTTACTGACACTTTGTAATAATCACAAAAACAATACATTAAAAAATGGGAAGGCAGGGAGAATGAGGTAACAGTCTTTTTTAATTTTTTGGATACTGAGGATTGAACTCAGGACCTTGTGCCTACAAGCCAGGTGCACTGCCACTGGTCTTATGAGGTAACAATCTTAATGTCCATCAATAAGGACTAGTAAAATGGGTACAATAGCAACATATACAATAGAAAACTGGTGATATATGTGTCAATACAGAAAGCAGCTTGAAAAAACTATAACATGAAACTTGCTATTATATAAATAAATATATGTATGCATGGGAGCTCTTTGGATATATATATATATATATACCACACTGCTAATTGTGGCCCTCTTCAGGGGAGGAGGGGAGGAGGTGGTGGAGGGAAAGATTTCTTATTATATTACTTCTCAATTGTGGTATGGCATTGGTAATTTTTTTAGCCATGAACATATTTGTTATTTTAAAACTACCACAACAGAAAATGACCACTAAATTCAAGTGCCATCCTTTTTGAAAGCACTTCGTTGATGCTCTTTTTAATATTGTTCAATTATATAGATAATAGTTCCTCTCACACTATATTGCAATATTTAATATTCTGTGAGCTCCTCAAAGTCAGGAACCATATATTCTGTCTTTATTTCTAGGGCCTAGCCAGTGTCTTCATAGGATATAACAAAAATTTGAATGAGAAAGAAAAGTATAGGTGAAATATATCTAAGGTAAATAATCCTGCTAATATTTAGAGCAATTGAAAAAATTACTTTTATGTTCCAAGGCCATCTCAACCAGGTAACTTTTACCAGATTAAACTTTATTTTCCTCTTCCTGGTTTCCCTTTGAATTTTAAGTTTTAGGGCTAACCCATCTCGATTTATATTTAAATTATTTGAAATAGTAATGATTGCAGGATTTTGGCTATATTAAAATTATAAAAAGTCTTGGGCTGGGTATTTAGCTTAGTCATTCCACTGTCTGCCTCGCAAGCCCCAAGTCCGAGTTTGATCCCTGGTACAAAAAAAAAAAAACTATAAACAGTCTCAATGAATTATTTTAATAGTTAACCTGCATAGATCACTACAGCATTCCCTTGACAGTAAATCTAGCTTCTTTTTTTTTTTGTTTTTTTTTTAGACTAGTGCTCACTATGTAGTTCAGACTGGCCTTGAACTCACTATGTAGCCCCATGTTGACCTCAAACTCACAGAGATCCTCCTGCCTCTGCCTCCTGAGTTCTAGAATTACAGGTGTGCACCACCATGCCCAGCACATTTTGGGTTTCTTATGGAGAACAGTTCCATCTAAACCTTTGTGCATTTGCCTTTTCATTAGGATTCTGACAATCCTGATCTTCGAGACCGAGGCTATATTTATTGGCGCCTTCTCTCAACTGACCCAGTGACAGCCAAAGAAGTAGTCTTATCTGAGAAGCCACTAATCTCTGAGGAGACAGACCTTATCGAGCCAACTCTGCTGGATGAGCTGATCTGCCACATTGGTTCTTTGGCCTCTGTATATCATAAGCCTCCCAATGCTTTTGTGGAAGGGAGTCATGGGATCCATCGCAAACATTTGCCAATTCATCATGGGAGGTAAGCAGGTTGAAGAATGACAGTTAGATAGAGTTGGTCTTCCTCCTATTTTTATAGTATGAAAAGGAATTTGCTATGCATTTTGCAAACCTACTACTATACTTCCCTAGGGCTCCAATCTAAAAATACAGTAATGCTTTAGAAAAATGTGATGGAGAAGAACTTCTGAATTGATAAGATCTGAAAGTTGCTTAAGTTTCTCCTGAGTTGAGACTCAAAATGTTCCCAGAGTTGAAAACTTGGGGAAGGGGGCGCCTGTTTGTGCATTCAGCTGTGTTTATCCCTTACTGAAACTTTGGTTTCGGGCTTAGATGGATAAAGTTAGATACTACTTCTCTCATTGGATAAAACTATTACTGATATTTGCAGGATTGTTTTATATAAACAGCCTAAATTCTACGTGAATATAGTTTTTCAGTTGTGCCTTTTTTACCAAATTAAGTTGATCATATTAGTAAGGAAATTTGGTTATGAACTGGGCTTCGGGTACCATGGAGTGCTGCTTTGTACCTTAAAATTTTAATTAGGGAGGAGAAATACTCTGATAAACTCCTATAATAGGTAACTTGGAAACTTTCCAGAACCTGATTTCTTCATCAGTCATAATAAACCTTAAATCTAAGTAGAATAATTGGCTTTGCATTAATGAATGTTTTAATGTCTTGTACCATTGTTTAATGTATATTTTATGTATGGCCAAAACATAGAATTTACTGCCTTACAGAGTGGTATAACCTGCATTTGGGCTGTATTTTAAAAGACTCTAAAGACAGAGAAAAAAGGGAAAGATAATACTCAAGAAAATGATTGTTACTCTTTTATGACCTTAGCTGAAGCTTTGATTTAGGGGCGGGTGCTTTGATTTTTAACTCAGAGGAGATATGTAAATTCATAAGAATTAGACTTTGGAATAAGTTAGGATTTTTCTTTTTTTGAGGGGGAAAACATGTTTAACATTCTCTAAATATAACTATTTGACTTCTAAGTATTTCTTGTGGTCTGTGCTTCAAGTTTTTCTATAGGTAGGATTTTTTGTTACCCCCTGCTGATGTAAGCATATCTATATGTCATGTATTCTAGCTTTCTGATAACTTTTGGCCCTCAAGTGGGAAGAAGAAAATTAAAAAAAAAAAAATCAACAACTCTTTCTTGAACACAAAGAACCACTATTTATCTAAAGAAACACAGTGTCATACATGAGGTTATCTGATTAATAATCTTTAATTTGTTACCTTTGTAATTCCTTATGGTTCCTTTTTGGATAAACCTCTTGTGCTTGCCTGTTGCTTTTAATGGGTGTAGGAAAACATAGGAAAAATACCCTTTGATATAAATGAGGATGATGCATTCCTACAAAGGTATGTCTGTAAATTATTTCCTTCCTACATAGTTCATTTATCACCTGTCTTCTACACCATAAGATTAATAATTGATACACATCCAACATGAATTAAAAAAACACTTTAAAACCTTGCTCTGCCTCTTGTCAAAATTTTAAAATGCTTTTACAGACCTATTTCAGTATATCTTTTTAAATCAATTGGAAAAGGAGAAGTGCTCTCTCCTTTTGTGCTTACTGTGCTTAATGCTTGTCAGTCGTCAGCTGTTCTATGGGGGTGAGGTGGTAAATAGTTGTCTAATTTAGAAAACTTTGACCTTTAAAAATATTGCTTTGATGACATTTATGAAGTTCCTATGAGTTCACCATGGGAAACTTTCATATTAATTTTTCCATTTAGGAAAAAAATGTGTGCTAATCATTTATCGTGTTCTTTCATGTTTATCATGAATCTACAAAATCATTTACTTCTTGTCATCTAACTCACTTTATCTTTTCATATTCCTTTATTATAGTGCAAATATATATATGCATTGCTATCTAGTCTACATTCTATTTAGAGGTACTAATAAATCCCTGTATTATAATATTTCTTAAGTGGCACATGTCATTAAATGACAATTTCAGGTGTAGAAAATACTCTCTGAAGATTTCAGGTTTCTTTCTTTTTTTTTTTCTTTTTTTTTAATTTCAGGTTTCTTGCCAAGTATATATGAAATTACTTCCCTTTTGACTTCTTTTTTATATTTGGCCTCTTTTCATCATGACTTCCTTGATACTTTTTCACTGTAAGTCTTATTGTTTTTCTCTCTTTAATCTTTGCAGTTTCATTTTCATTCTCTTCCGTAATCATTAATCTTGGTTTTATGAAAAAGGCTCATTGGGGCCAGGGATTTAGCTCAGGGCTCATCGGGGCTCAGGGATTCAGCTCCATGGCCTGCCTAAACAAGTGCAAGGACCCGAGTTTGATCTTCAGTACCAAAAAAAAAAAGGGCTCATACTGAACTTTCTCTTTCTGTGCTTCTCTCTGTATTTTCTAAGGGAACTTTTCTACCAACTACAGCTACTGCTGATAGATTTGTTACAAGGCTTTACTGTTTGTACCATGTTTTCATTTGATCCTTGTTATAATAGAGTCCTGTGTTTGGGTGATACTGTTATCATTTTATTGATGAAGAAATTGTCTCAGAGACCTTGTCTCTTGCCCAGAATCATGCAGCTAGCAATTAAGTGGAGCCAACACTTGGTCCCCTGCTCTTTTCACCTTACCTTCCCCCTGTTGATCCTCCAGAAATGTATACATGAATTTCTTCCCAAGTTTGTGTAACTTTGACAAGTCCTTTGTCCTTAGCTGCCTGCTGGACTTGTGTATTTATTTTTCTTACATGAAACTTGTCTAGTGGTCGTACCATCCTGAATGTGCCCAGTCCCATCTTACTTTAAATCTAACATTTGGGAAGTGAGAATTTGGTGCTGTGGATGTGATTGAGCTCAGTGATTGAGCTCGTGCTTAGCATGTGCAAAGCATGGGGTTCAGACACCAGTGCCAAAAACCAAAAATATTTGAGTGTCTTAGTTTATTAGCATCCTTTCAAATTCCCTATGATTAATTATGTACATCATTAATTTTTTTTTCATTTGTTTTCTATACTTTTTCATTTTCCTTTGTCCACTGTGCTCGATTGTCAAAACCTGTTTTCTTTAATGAAAAAAATTATTTTTACTTATTAGTTGAACTTTTACAGTGTTTCATAGTTACTGATATTCACTTGTTGTCTTGTCATTTTGTCCTAGGTGAAACTGACTTTTCTCTTTTCTCCTCTGTGTGCATGTGACTGCAGCACTGATGCGGGTGACAGTCCTGTTGGTACCACCACAGCAACCAACCTGGAACAGCCTCAGGTTATCCCCTCTCAAGGTGACCTTCTTGGGGATCTTTTAAATCTTGACCTTGGTCCCCCAGTCAACGTGCCACAGGTGTCGTCCATGCAGATGGGAGCTGTGGATCTCTTGGGAGGAGGATTAGATAGTCTGGTAAGCATCTTTCTTCACTCTCCTTTTTTGTTTTTATTTCTTGATATGCTAGAGAACTTTATTGAGGCTCTTTAGAATTAGACCTTTCCTTGAGGCACAGTAATTTCCTTTGGTAAAGGACAGCAGCAATACTTGTCTTTAGAGTTAATTATAATATTCATCATTGATATGAGCTATTTCTACAAATGTGTGGGATTATTTTGTTGTCCTGATTCTAAGTGGAACTTTGGCTATTTAACCAGCCTACTGTTCAGCAACTTAATGCTTAGTAGCCTTTCCAGAGTTTATTATTTTTCCTGTAACTCTGGATAACCCCTGTAAGTTCTTTTGACCTGAACAGTACTAAAATGGCCTCATAAAGATGATCCTATTTTGAGTCTTTCAAGCCCTTTGCCTTTTAAATATTTTATTAGCTATGCCTTGTACAATTCAGAAAGGTTTTGAGACAGTCATTTGAACCATTTTTATATAAAACGTACCTCTGTTACAGTTGAGAAGAACGCTCAATTGGTTCTTTTTTCCCCTTCTTCCCCACCTCCTCTACCTTGTCATACTTCCAATTTAATTAGCTTCCAGGATTCTAATACTAAAAGGCTCCAAAGTCTGGAATATCTGTGACTATATGCCACCAATGGAAACCAAAATTATTTTTTGTTGCTGTACAAAATATATGAGAAATACTAAGTGTAACCTTCAGTCATTGGAGAGAAGGCCAGGAAAATCACAGATCTCATCAGATGGCTCCCTGCAAACTAGGTATTTAATTGTGATGGAATTAGATTTTTTAGTTAGACACTTGCAAACAAGATGTTTGTCAGACTAATGATTAAAAAGATGCCCCAAAATTGATTTATTTACCAACATCATTGGAAGGCAAATACCATAGGTATGAAATCTGTTCTCAGAGATTATATAAACAAAACAGTTTCAGTCTCTGCTACCTGTACTGTCATCATCTCTTATGTCTAATGAGAGGTACTGTCTGGGGTTTATGCCAGCCAGAACAGGTCCACTTACATTTTGGCTGGTGACGCTCTAAGAAAATAGTGCCATCCCTATGGATTGTGCATTTTACTAATAGAAAGTCACTGCTTCCATAACCTGTACACTGGCCAAGCAGTGAACTCCAGCTCATTGACAAAAATGAGCACTCCTGTTTTCTTTCTTGAGAATGTAGCATTTGCTTTTCATATTCTTAGTAAGTGGGCTTGATTTATTGATAAATAGAATAGTTTCCTCATATGATCATTCTGTATTGCTGTACAGCCTTCTTATAGACTCAAAAGATGCACAAATGAATACTTACTCATGGAGGCTCCCAAGAATCCTTTATGAGATTAAAATAGCTCTTCCTATTGTGTTGACGCATCAGCTACAGTTTGAATATTGTGTCCTCCTCAAGTTTATGTTGTGAAAATCCTCCTTACTGCTTTCCCTGGTGGCTTACTACACATTGGACTCATTGGATCTGAGAGTGACAAAGAAAGATTAAGGGATAAAAGGGGAAAGGAGCCTGTATTTTCATGTTGCCAGGCCTAGAATTCTACACTCTTGCTTCTTGCTCTACTTTGGCTTAAAAAGAAAGAGCATGTTACTTATATTGACTTTGTTTTAGCTCTTGCCAGTCTCCACAACCAGTGAGTTTTATCCCTATATATTACCTACCTATCCAGTCATCTCTGAGAATTTCTGCAGGAATAGCTTCAGATAGAAAAGTTTTTAGAACTTACTTGAGTTATAGTAGCCAAAGTTGAACATGGGCCTTTTTCCTTTTTCTTTTTTGACCCCACCTTCTTCCTTTTTTTTTTGTAAAGGATATTCTTTTGGCAATGAGGAGCAAGTTGGTTTTCAGAGTTGGGTTTCTAAAACTTAGCATTATGTAGTCTTTGCTAGGTAGGCCCAGTAATTTTCCCATGTAAGTAAACCTGAGCTTTTCCTCAGTTTGAGATTTTAAATGCTATCCTTGGTTTTGTAACAACAGTTTTGTAACAAAGTTTTTACGGTAAAAATTCTTAGCTAGCTCTGAAATATAATTTGTCTCAGAAATCAAAATGAGAAAGAACACAAGCTCTTATTTTTGCTTTGGATCTGCCTGTGTTTAAATATATAGTCACTTGGAGAACCAGGATTCATTTTATGAGAACATCACAAGCAGGCTTAAATCTGGCTCTATGAAAAATGAATTTCTATGGGAGCAGTGACCTATGCTGCTATTAAAATGCTTTTTTGGGCTGGGGATTTAGCTCAGTGGTTCTGCCACCTGTCTCGGAAGTGCAAGGACCCAAGTTCATTCCTCGGTACCAAAAACAAAACAAACAAACAAAAAATGCTTTTATTGTTATTGTGCTAATTATCTGTTTTAAAGAGGAAAATAATCTTCAAAGTTGTCTTAATCTATGATGGTGCCATTTCCTTCCCTGGTACTGGGAATTGAACCCAAGGCCTTTGCACTGAGCTACATCCCAAGCCCTGTTTTATTTTTATTTTGATACAAGATCTCAATAAATTGCCTTGGCTAAGCTCAAACTTGCTGTCCCTCCTGCCTCAGCTTCCCAGAATTCTGGGATTACAGGTGTGTGCCACCACTCCCAGCTAGTAGTGCCATTTTTTTTTTTTTAATGCACTCTTGCCTTACAGTAGTACTTCTCAAAACAAACTATAATGTGTATATGAATCTCCTAGAAATATTGTATTGGTACAAAAGTGTCTTGATTTTGTTAGGCTAGGGCAAGACATACGAGTCTGCCTTCCTAACAGTCTCCCAGGGATACTGGAACTTTTGGTCCATGGACTACATTTGGCACAGGAAAGACATAAAATACCTGTAACCAGTATGAACCATTTCAATTTGATGTTTGAACCATAACTACCAGTAAATTTAGATCCCCTTTCTTCTTAATTTCAGCAGCAAGCACATTCTTGGAAAGAGAGCCCTGGCCCTACCCTATATTAATTGAGGAAGGGCAAGAAACTTATGAAATTATAACCTATTAAGAGAATGGTGTTCCTTTGTGCAGTAAAAATTTGGCTCACCTCTCATGTAAAGTATGGCTAGGGTTAGAATGGTGTGGCTGTTTTCAAGAAGCACTGAGTTTAGAAAGGCTATTATGTTTGTTTTCCATCACTGTGACAAAATACTCGAGAAAATCAACTTACAAGGAGGAAATTTTATTTTGGCTTATGGTTTTAAAGATTTAAGCCCATGATACCTTGGCCCTGTTGCTATGGGCCTGTCATGAGAACATCTTTGTGGGTGGAGCATGTTGGTGGAAGAAGCTGCTCACCTTGTGGTTGCTGAGAGACAGAAAGGGGCCGGGACATGTCCCTAGTAATCTAACTTCTACTAGGTGTCACCATCTCCCAAGAGCACCACAGGCTGGTGACCAAGCCTTTAACACGTGAGCCTTGGAGGACATGTAACATCCAAACCACGACTGCTGTCAGTTAGGCCTCTAGATATTGCTGCTCCTTTTAGCATCAGTTTCTGATAGAACCTCATCCATAGAGATCAGGGTGTGCTACTAATGAGGTGTTATTAACCGGCTGCTCCTAAACTCAGTGATTTTCTACTCTAGCTGCCTAATTAGTCCCACATTACCATTTCACAAATTACTATCAATACTTGGGCCTAAGAACAATTGAAGCTGTGAGGTTGGACCTAGATATGGCTATTTTTTAACGGTTACACTGGTTGTCTTTAGTTTTGCAGCAGAATTGAGAACATTGAGCACAATGGCATTAAGTAGCTGATCTCTAAGCCAAGAGAGTAACTTCCATGAAAAAATATTATTTTCTGGAGAGCTTCTTAGGCACAGCTTACAAAAACAGACACGTGTGTCTTTAGCTTTGTACTTTCTCCCCAGGGCAGTTTTCTTTGGTGATTTTCCACTGGGTGATCCAACTTATCAGAAGTTGGCTGGAAGTTAAATTTGACCAGTTTAGGTATAGTTGCTCAATCCAAGGGTCTTTTTTATCTTTGCTCACTTTCCATAATGGGAGACTGAAAATTGAGGATATTCTATGTTTCTAATTGTCTACTCATTTTTTTAAAACTTTATAGTCATTAGAAGATATTTTCGTTTTTATATCCTAGTAATCCTCTCATTAGATTTTATTCTTTTTTTAACCTTCTTTCATCATTATTACAGTTATGAAATTAAGATTTAGTGAATTGTGACCTTTTCTAGAAGTGTCATATACAGGAAATGTTATTTATAATTGCCACATATATCTAAATTCTCCAACCTTCTTTCATCAATAACAATGACCCATAGCATCTATAATTCTTCTTTTGTTTTGTTTTGTTGGTACCGGGGATCGAACTCAGGTCCTAGTGCTTGCGAGGCAGGCAGCAGAACCACTGAGCTAAATCCCCAGCCCAACATCTATAATTTTTATACCAAAGGAGAATGGGATAAGGATATTTCTGTGACACAAGGAAAATATATACCATTCCTCCCAGGTGGTCAGTTACTGTATGCCTTTTGAAAGGAGGCAGTCATCTTTAAAAATTATTTAGGCAGAGGTTTAAAAATTAAATGTCTTCTCAGCACAAAACTTGAATCAGTGGATTTCCCACCTATACCTTTTAGTCTTGTTACTAGAACATTCCTATCCTTATTTTTTGCTTTCATTTCAGCATGTTTTTTTATTGTACTCTATAAACTGTTTCCTCTTTCTGTTAGTATAAACTGTCACCTTGATGTGGAGTGAATTCAAATAATGCAATTTAGGTGATTGATTTTTTTTTCTACTTGTATACTATTTATGTGTAGTCTTGTAAAAGTAATTGTTTCTTTGTTTTAGAAGACATGTAGTGCTGGGGTTTTGTTTTCTTTTAATACCTCTGATATTTAATAAAAAACTGCCTGTTCTGGGTGGTATGGTTTTTCCCACAGTGCAGATCCTTCTGGTTGGGCATAGTGTAGGAGGTGATGTGATATCTATGTGTGTAATTTTTGTATGTTATGTGCTCAGGAGTTTGTTATCTGTGAGGATTG